TCCTTCCCCTTTTGAGCCAGGTGTTGCAGTTACTGAGGACAGCCTCCAGAGAGTCCTAGCTTTTGCCTGGCTTTGGGAATTCTTAGTTCTGATGTTTGTTGTTTTTCAAACAAGAACACTGCTTTAACCATGAGATTTCAGCCTCACCAACATCGACCAGATTTGCACTCTAGGGATAAAGACAGAAGAACCGTGATCTACTGACCTTCATACTACATTGCAAAGTCCACCTTTCACTCAGGTTTATGTTTAATGAGATGACACAAAGAGCTAAGTAATGAGATATAGTATTCACGTGGATATAAACTGCATAAGCAAAGGCCTTGTCCAGCCTGTCTTTTCCTCCCTACTCTGCCCCTTGCGCCTCACAGCCAAACCCCTTTGCCCTTGTTCTGACTCTTTCCTGATCCTCCCATCAGGTGACAATTTGAATTTTAAAGCCATTTACACTCCAAAAGGGGCATAATCAGATTTTTATCCCATACTTTTCTGATGTGACTTTTTTATTATGACATCAAGTACTGACCCATAATAAGGATCTAAATGCCCGGTTTAATATCTATTACCAGTATATGCAGATGCATATAAAATTATAGTATCACCACATAACTACACATTAACCTCTTGAGCTCCATGACAGACAAACTCTCCAGGGAACACTGTATTCCAATTTTCATTTACCAGCAGTTGCTCAGTGACAAGCAGTAGAAGTTGTACTCATCTGTACCCCAAAACTCAAAGTACTTGCAGAATGACAGGGAATACTCACGTTCTGAATATACTAGGTCTGCTGCTTCCAGTTCCCAGCTTTTTGTGATAAGCATTTGATACTTTCCCATGAGCAAATGCCACAGTTGCATTTAAATATGTATACACAAGTAGGTTGTAGCTTACCCAAAAACAATTTCCAGGTGTCAGCAGAGTTGTGTCTGAGCCACATGGTAGCCACAATTATTGCTTTAGAAGAGAAGGAATAGGGTGTACAACATCATATCACGTGCCATCTTAAATGCTTCTGTAGCACAAAATATGCACTTTTGTTCAGGAAGAGCCCATTTAGCACAGGCGTATAGGTGCAGTGTGTAAGCAAGGGATAACGTGGTCCACAAAGCTTTATAGCAATGATACGGATACAAGTGCAGCTACCTGCCCCATCTCAAGATGTTTTTTGTGGAAATTCAAACATTCTGATTTCTGTGTTTCAGGTCCGTTGCATCTGTTTGCATCAGAAATTGCTAATTCAGCTGCAAATAGAGCCTGTTAACCAGATCTGACACAAGAATTCTAATAAACATTGGAGAAAGGTGGAGATTTTTTTGGTTTAAGTTTTAAGAAAAAGAAGAAGGAAAAGTGCTGATTTCTTAACAAGATTTAAACCTGAGATTCAAAGGAGAAAACAGAACAAAATACAGGACAGGCAAAAATCAACACTGTTCTTAATGCCTTTCTCCTTCCGATACAGTTCAGATTATTGACTCTGGTTCCAAAGATGACCTTAGGGCAAAAACACAGAACAAAACTTCTGAGATGTCACTTTCTACTGACCTGGGCACTGACAGGCAACTCCTTAAGTAACAGTTGGTTTTCTGCACTGTATAGTCATTGCTTTGGAGTTTAGGGAAGAGAATCAGCGAGTAACACTTGAAATGTCCATGCAAGACATTAGCCAACAGTCATATTGGCCTGTGGTGTTCAGGTAAAAGTATATGAAGTGTAACTGCTCAAGACCAAGTTTTCACCTACCTATTGTTCTTTCTCAAGTTGTAGCAGATTAGCAACTTCACAGCAGATCTTCTGCCATACTATGCATTTGGTCTGCTCTTCCTTTTTCAACTCCTTTGAAGTCCAGGTCCCAGAGAGAAAGCATATTTTTGGAAGCTAAAATATCCTGTGAAGAAATCCCAACAAAAAAGGGAATACATACCAACAACCCCTAGTGTAAAAATAAATTTTATAGTTGTATATATACATACATACACACACATGTGTATCTGGATACATATAGAAATATTCAAAATTGAAGAAACAAACTGTTATCCTAATTCATCCCTTTGTGCATAACATTACAACGTTAATTCAAATGATCACACAGTTTATTTTCAACCAGAATCCAGCTTCACAGAGCACCAAACACAAACCTCTGGGGAGAGGAAGGTCAAGAACTGGATAAGATGGATCTTACTCGTTTACTGCTAAAGGCAGAAAAACCAAAGCAGGAGACTGTCAAAACAAAGCTATTGTGATGAATGCAAGTGACCAACAGCCTTGAAGATATGCTTGCCTGTTGCCATCTCTATGATGCCTGATCTCTATGATGCCATCTCTATGGTGCACTTGTATTCCTGTACATTTTCATGAGGTGTATATTCTCTGAGGTGCAAAAGTATGAAACAAAAAACAGAGAGACTCCAGCAATGAGCACAGTGTTCCTCACCTCACCGGTATGTTGTGACTGAATTTCTAGAATCTCTGGGCACTCACAGCTGTCACAGAAGTTAGAAAAAATTATTTGAATCTACAAAATTTACCAGTTCATTGGTAGCACATCCTGGGCCTCCCAAATTCAGAGACAATTCTTAATTATTGTTTAGATCTCAACGACTAAAACTCTTCTGTAAAATAAGGGTGACAATAATATCCAAATTTCTAGTGCATAAATAAATCCATTAACATTTTATATTACCATAGCAGGAGGCACCCTGAAGACAGTAACAAGGAAATTACTTCTTCCCTCTTCAGAGTACAGTCTGGATGCTGTGCAATGAATACAGCCTTAAGTGTCTAAATGAAGAAAAAACAAACCCATGCAGCTGTACACTGAGTGAAGCTCTCCCACACTGATTGAGGCAGGAACCCAATGTGAAAGGGAAGAACCCCAACTTTTGCTACTGCTTGACTACACTGTACTGTGATGTAGAAGGGCTGGCTGTACTAATTAGAGCAACAAAGTCCACTTGAATGATAACCTGGTTTGCCAACATGTGCAAGCATGAATCATTTTTTCTTCTTCTTTCCCTTGTTAAAGAATACACTTGCTTAAATATCTAAACAAATGGAAACCCAGGAAGTTGATGTCTGGAGTCATGCAGCACTCCTACTGATGTGGTAAGGAGAACGGCCACCGGTTCCAGGGTAGCTCCGTGGCAGCCCCTGTGCTGGCTGAGTGCAGAGCAGGGGCAGTCCCATGGATCCTGGAAATCTGTTGCACTACTCCACATTCCTACTCCCTGTTGTGTCCACAATATCCAAAAGAAGTAGAAAAGTAGAAAAGGTGCATGAAAGCCCCTCTGCAAGCTCACTTTCTTAGGCTCTTTTGTGGAAACACCGGATAGTCAAGAAAGAAACCATAGAATTTCTTTCACTCTCCACACAGCATTCAGCATTAAGAGAATCTTCATCTCTGGCTTTCTGAAAACAGGAATGCAGATGTCCCCAGGGACAGGGGAAGACTGAGTGAAGTCCACATGTTTGCAAAGCATAGAGTGAAGCACGATGAAGAAAACTCCTAAGGCAATGTTGGTGAACCTTTTATGAAGGTCTCCAGCTCTTCAAATATGATGCTATTTTAAGGGTGTTTTATACATTCCATGTGTTTTTGTCTTCCTAAGGGCAGACCCCCTGTCTAAAATGTGCATAAGCTCTCCTCTTGTTCTCATCCTCAGATATCTCCCTGTTGTTCCCTCACCTGGATTGAATGAAATGAATGTCATTTAGCAGTCTGAAATTCTATTTCTCTTCAATAAAAAGCAACTACCAAGTATCCACCTTTACTGGAAAACTGCTTGACTTTAGTAGAGAACAAATCTTGCACTCCCAAATTTGAAATATCATTTATATAGGTGAGAAATCTCCATTAGTACATAGTTAGTCTACTTGTATTCCTGTGTATTTTCATGAGGTGTAAATTCTCTGAGGTGCAAAAGTATGAAACAAGCATGATCTGAAAAATACCAGTAGTAGAATAAAGCCACCACTTCAATAGGACCCAACAGCCAGCCCTGCTACTGAAGTTACCAGCAGCCCTTCAAATAAGAAGTTATTGCCCCATGCCTGCAAAACTAAGGGAGTGACAAAAGAAAAAAAACAAAAAAAGTCAGCTTAAACAAAAAAAAGAGTTAAGAAATGCCCCAATTATCAAATGAAATATTTATTACTAAGAAACAAATGCAGATAGGTGGAAGACTGAAGCTGCTCTTAACTAACTGTGAATATCTGACTACGTTTTGATTATTACCCACAGCTGATCATGTTGGCTGAACTGGGGTGCTTCTCCTAAGAAATTCTATTCTTAAGAGCTCTTTTCTCCTTCCTCCCAGCAAAAATCAGCACATTTCACCAGAAACACTTCTCAGTTCTCACAGGTGCAGCTTGAAGGCGAGAGAGGAAAATCACCAGAGCTTTACAAACTGGAAAACAAATCAAATAAACAACAAACAACCCACATGTAAGATTAAGAATTGGAAGTGGCTTCCAACGGATCTTGACCATTGTTTTAAAAATGTACCATCAGCTTGGGTTCCTGGGAACAGTTAATGTGGAAGGAGCTCTGTTTCATTCCTCGCACAAGCATGCAAGCTATCAATTTAGGGACACAAATGAACGCATGAGAAAATTCAACGTCCACTGCTAATTTGATCTTTGAAGCTGCTGCTATCACTGGAAAATACAATGATGTAAATCAGTCTTAAAAGGATGCTACTTTTGGCAAAATGAATATATATCCATTAAAATATCAGTTGAGACTGACCACTCATTTAAATGAAATCTTTTTTTGGGACTTGGCAAATCCAAAGTGGTGACTTGGAAGTGAAAGGATACTTAAGAAACTCTGGAATCATTTCAAGCTCCAAACAGGGAGCATCACCATTGCCTAGACATGACATCATGGCAAATTAGGAAACAAACAAAAATTACTGAGCAAAGAATGGACATGATGAGTTACCTCAAATCTTCACCCAAGCTTGCAATTCAAAGGAAAAAAAGCAATTCCTACAGAATTCTCAGGTTGCTGTTTGTATTCAAGGTATTTAAGGAAACAGATGAGGAAGCAAAAAGATTATGAACCATGCCAATTCTGTAAATCTACTTGGATATCACTGAACCTTTTTCCACCTCTCAGCTCACTTTGTATCAGATACAACAAATCTTTCATATATTGATTTATTTCCAGTTTCTATAATCAGAACAGAGATTCTGCAAGTCCCTTTTTCAGGTAATACATCTTAAAGACAAAAGAATACAAACAATCTTATTTACATTTCCCCCAAAACAGACTCCTAAGAATGCAGAATCCAATACTTATTAAACAGTTAAATGTTGTGACCGCATAAAACAGTTTTGACATATACATGTACTCTTTAGAGTACAGCTGTTTGTGAACCTCTGAGTAAGTCTGGGACAGAAGGAAGCCACAATGAAACTGATGGTGCTATGGCAAACTGTCTGGTGTTGCCAGACTTGAAAGAAAATTCAAAGGCTTCACCAGTGTGGGGGGCTCTCAGGTCAGGCCAGAGCAGTCTCGAGTCAATGCACTCTCACATATAATTCTGGCCAACAACAAAAAAATGCTAGCATGAGACATTAACATTACGTCCCCAAGACTTGGGATGTGAATCATATAATCATAGAACAGTGTGGGTTGGAAAGGACCTTAAGCATGTAAGCAACAACTCAAATGCGGCACTGTGCTATCATTGGAACATTACGTTTATTTTGGAAAAGTGATAGTGTGAAATATTTTAAAGTTGCACTCTCTCTACAAGGTCGCTGCTCCCTACCATTATAGAATATATTTCCAGAAAAATGTTTCTTGCAGAAGCACCATCTTCTCTCAGATGAGTGAGGCACGGCTCCTCCATGAGAAGAACCCTTCCATCTTGGTCTTTTAGTATGATAAAGTTACCAGCCATCACAGAAGGAAAACAAACAGACTAAGCTTTGAAGTATTCTGAATTACAAGAACTTTTCATCCAACACTGCACAGTAATACAGCTAAAGGAAACACAATGCATTTTGGAATTGAAAAAAATGGGTATTATTCTTACTTTATAGGAGCCCATGTGTTGAAAAGCAAAACTTCAGATTCAGGGGTCAGCTGACTGAATATTTTATTGCAGTTATGGCACTGTTTGTGATGATATTTGGCTATACAAATATATGAAGCATGAATAGCAACAGGGAAGCAAGATTTCCTACTTCTGTAAAGAATACACTAGAACACAAGGCAGATTAATGTGGAATACTGGAGATGTTCATGGAGGAAAGGAACTAACAGGCTGAATGACAAGTTTTATACTGTGAGAATTACATGGGTTAATGGATTAATCAGCACTTGCTGACTGTCAACAGATAGTTGTACACAACAAAGAAGCTAGTTGTAAAGGAAGAATAGGACTCTTCAACCTTGCTGAAAAAAGCATAACAAGAAAAAGTGTCAGGCTGTTGATACTTAGAGAAAAGCATTCCAAGCATATTCCAAGAGAAGATGCAATTTCCTAACTGAGGGGACAATTAATAAGAAAAATGACTACCAAGGAAAATGATCTAATCCTTAAAGTTTCTGAAGTCAGATTACATGTCCCTCTAAAATTATAATTAAACTCAGTTGCAGGAAAGGTACTATTGCTAAAAGGTTCACAGAAGTTTTCTTCAGTCTTGAAAAAAGTTTATATTTTTTGAGACCAGACACTGGGGATACTGGAATGTAAAAGGGGCATATCACCATACAACTCATTTGTTTTTAAGTAACCTCTATGCATACAAATTTGGCACTGTAAGAAACAGAATACCAAGCGAGGCAGACTTCTGACCTGACCTAGTGCTGCTTCTCTTACACTCTTCATCCCAATTTCTTCAGAGATTACAATTAAATTAGAACAGCTCTGCAAAACCTCATGGTCATAATATGATCACACTCACAACACTGGCAGCTCTGCTTTAAAGACAATGAATGTACCGGATCACACATGCAGGGGTCAGCAATACTTTTTTGTGATTGTTTGCAGGTATATATATATTTTGCATCTTTCTTTGATATAACAGAATGTATCAGTCCATCTTCCAATTTTACCAGTTCTCTGAGTTGGTACAAGAAGTCTCCTTTCCAGGTATTCCAGCTGAATATCAACACACTGAAATCACACTAACAGCCACGTCTGCACTTGAGATGGAATTCCACCCTCATCAAAGCTGGGAAGCACATTTTGTCTCCACAAGTTGGTATGTCACCTGACCGCAGGCTAGACATGCATGGGTGTCCAGTGACGGTTCAGTCTCATATGCCTGTGACACAGTTCACTTCCTTAAAGAACAAGATGCTTTGGTGCAGTTAAGATTCTCTGTTCTCTCTCTGTGCTGAATTCTATTCTTGTACTGGGTAAATATTAATGGCCTCTGATAATTTTGCTTTCTTTATAGCAAGTAGTCCCTTACGTTTTTTGCCCTAAGCAGCAGCATCATATTTTTCCTGTATTTTGTAGTACAAAACCAGAATGCCTCAATGCAAACACGAACAGGACTAGAATGCAGGAGACCAAGACACAACAATACAGTATCAAAGTGAGAACAGAAATTCATTCTCCCTTGATGGTCTCCTATCCAGGGCTGTTAAATCACATTTTTTGAACAAATGACACGTAACGGGTTTACTTTTGCTTCACTGAGATGCTCTCTGGCTAAGAAACTGTTCCTGAAGACATCAAAGCAAAGTCCTTATCTGCTTGACATAATTCCTTCTCAATTTCCAGTCACATACATCATGGCATCTTCTTTCTTCAGTACAGAAGGCAATTACAATAAAGAAGATTCTCAATGACTGTTCTTCACCAATTTCCTTCTCATTCTCTGCCCACTGAGCAGCTGTCTGCAACATCCACCAAGTAACAGAGCGAGCTTCTACAGTTTGAAGGGCAGCACTAAGCACCTCAATATCATTATTCAGGAACGCTAGCAAGACACACCTCTGCATAGTACAATCATGAAGCTAATTTATCATTCAGTAGCACTAGTCCCAGCCTCCTAGGAGTTTCTCTCCAACTACTGTTTTCCTGCCTCCTTCACTCTTCACTGTACCTTACCTTAAAATCATAAATTCATTCTTTAATTTGCACTTCCCCCCCCCCCGGTATCTACCAAACTGGAATGTAAGCCTCACAAAAGCTCACTGGGCTACAAGAAATGTGCAAAGAATAACTACTGAATGTTCTCCTCCCAGCTCTGGCTTTCTCTTCCACTACATATAAACGTTCTTGTACATAAATAAAGCCCTCTTTGCGTAAGAATGTCATTATGAGCTGGTCTTTATCACTTTGCAAACCTGTAGCAATTGCATGATGTTCCCAATAACAGACGCAGGAAAGAGAATACATTATGCCGCTTTATAGAAATGCAGTGAGGAGGAAATGGGATTGATAGGCTAGTCAGCCTTACCTCTGCCTCTCCTAGGTTTATTGAGCGAGTTCTGCAAGCCATTTCCAAGCTTCAAAGGACAAGAAGGTGGCTAGGAGCGGCAGTCAGATTTATGAGGTATGAATTTGACTGCCTTCTAGAATGAAATGCCAGTGGAGGGCAGTGAATGCTGCTTACTTTGATTTCAGCAAACCTCTTGATGCAGTTTCTCACAGCATCATTATAAGCTGTACTGGGGAGCTCTGCATGCAGCCCAGTGAGGTTGGTGAGAAACTGGTTGACCTGTGAAGCTCAAGGAATGACCAATGGTTTGAAATCTACATGGTAGCAAGGTATGAAAAGTGTGCCTCAGAAGACAATACTGGGATTGATGCTATTCTGTGTTTTCATGAGTGATGCGGAGAAAGAGACAGAACAAACTCTCAACAACAGAAAAACAGACATACTGGAGAGAGTTGCTGACATGCAAGAGGTACCACCCAGAGGGACCTTGACAGACTGAACGAGTAAGCAGACAAAAACCTCCTGAATCTCACCCAAAGACAGGTACAGATTCTTGCATCTGGGACAGATTAGCCATATATAAGACACTGGCTGAACATCAACTAGAGAGGAAGACAGATCTGGAAATAAGTGGGGAGTCCTGGTGGACAAGAAATGGAATACAAGTGAGTACTGCAAAACAACACAACTACTTCATTCATCAAAGAATGCTGCAAATATTGAAATCTGAATCAAGCTACTGAAGTATGACGACGAATTTAGATAAACCCTGGAGTAATAAGATGGAACATGACATGTGATTCATTTAGGTTGTCTGCCAGTCAGGAGAATCAAATTTGATCAAGAGCCTGATTGACCTACAAATGGAGTCTAACACACAAATACTGAAGAGAGGGCAGCTGCAGGAATTTGAGTCTCCCTCACTTTCAGGAAGTTGCAGTGGCAGGAAACACTATTTATCAAGACAAGGCCTGCTACGGTTGCTCTTCAGTAGTGCCACAGGTACATTCAAACTTTAAAGGCAAGTAAGACCTCCTAGGGAGCTTACAGTCTAAGCAAGGGCTTAACAAGATGAACAGCACTACTGACCTCAATAGGAAAATCTGATGATTTATCTTGCAGCGCCCCCAGAGAAAAATCATGTCAAGTCTGGTGTCTCTCCCAAGAGTGAGAGAAAGGCCATTAATTCCCTAAAACCTCACAACAACTTTCATAAAAGTTTTAAAATTGTCCTTAGATTACTGAAAAAGCAGAACTACTCCAAACAATCCTCAGAATATATCATACAATATCAGAATTGTTTTAAAAAGGGGGAGCACAAAAGGCCACCAATTAAAATTTCAACTGAATTGAAACAGAAGTGCATCTGTTGAACAGACTCAAATCAAGTGCAGTTTTAGAAGATCCTTCTTGAGATAAAAGCGTCTGAATTGCACAAATGCTCTTTTAGGGAGACTACTCCTTGTCACTGAAACTGGCTGCAGGTTAGGTTACAAGGTTCCCAAAACTAAAATTTATCTGCACACTGTCATAAGAAGGTGATCACCCTTGCCTTGAACATGCTCACAAGTCCTAGGCAGACAAGACACTACTTTTCAGTTCCAGACTATAGACCTCTCCCACTAACCCCCAAGCACCACTGAACCAAGCGCTTGAAGTACAAAATAAGACAATCCAGGAACTTTAAAACAGGAATACTCCTGTCTCCACAAAACCCCCACAGCCTGTCTCATAATCTGAACTGACCCCTGTACTCCTTTAGCAAGATATAAGGGCTTTTCTTGATTCATATAGTTCTAAAATGTACCGCTAACAACAACAACAAAAAAAACGTTTTGAGAGGGATTTGCATGGACAGATCTGACAGTTTGCTTGGGCTGCGAAACATAAATCCAATTTGGATCTCTCCCCAGGAATAAGCAGGTATTAGGGGATCAGAGATAGGCAGGATGTCTGTAATAGAACTGTATTTGTCAATCTGCATTTAGACTGAGCCATTCCATTTTTGTTTTGTATACGTTATGACCATTTAACATTTTAATACATAATTAAATATAAAATACCACCATATGCCCTTGCTATCAAATCTGTCCCTCAACTACTCATTTATAAAACAGAGGTAAACATGGCAAAACAATTAAAACCACTGCAAAAACAGTAAAAACAGTCCTAGGTGAACTTCCATATTCAAAATGAATTTTAGAAGCTTTAACAGTCCTGTCTGAAAGCTCCACCCAGTGAGGAAAGTAAAAACAACGGTATGCATACAAATATATCCTATTGTTAAAAGACTTGAGAACCCGTGAGGTCACCGGTCCCTTGATACATCCTATACAGGTATATATTTTAAAAATGAACTCCAAAATATGCTGCAAATGGAATAATTGAAGTGTAATATGATACGGAATACAAAAAAAGTAGGGAGAAATCACTACCCATATATACTGCAACATAGAAGGTAACTGAGTGTGAAGTGCAAGCATTACGTAGAGAACAGAATCTCTTCTGTGTATGCTGCAGAGTGAAGTACAATCATCAGCAGGTGGAGACACTTCCAACAGATAGAGCAGACAATACTTTCTGAAGGGAGCGAGAACATGAGACAGCTGTGGTCTGAACAAGGCCAAAAGTGCTCTGAATAGAAGTGATTCTTTGTTTTTTCATTCAGCTATCTGTTAACTTCAGTTGAAAATGTGCTGGGAAATTCTGACAATCACTTTTGAAGTTAAACACTAAGAAACAGAAGTTTGGTTTATCCTCTAACATACTTCAAATGTGTTGGAGGTCCAAGTTCCTTTCCATGACATCACTTTGCACATTTATGTCCAACTGGTTCTCCCAAATCCTTGTCCAGGAAATTTAGGAAAGAACATGCAATACACAAGCAAGACAGAAGACATTCGGAAAAAGACAGAAGGAAAAGGTCAAAGGGACCATGCTGCTAGTGGGCCAATGGCAATTTCTGAATTGACATGCACTGTACTCGTTTCATTAGAAGGAACATGGTTCAAGTTCATACACACAGCCTGAAACATTCCACAAACACAGAATTCTGCTTACATATTTCAACTTGTTATCACTCTCATTACCCAGCCAAGAAATCCTCCTGGCCTAGAAGAAATCAGGGGATGACTTCTGCCTCCTTCAGTAGCAGTGGGAACTTTCACCCAGAAAATGCCCGAATGCAGCAAACAAGCACAGAGTGCACAAAGATCCAAGATCTGAAACCCAAAAGATTCTGTACACAATCCATATGAATGAGTTGGCATCAGGTAAGGAGATGAACGCATAATAAATACAGCAAGAGCAGGAGCATTTTAAACAGTCACTGCAGTCCCAACGCTCGTTACCTGTTTTTAAACACAGATTCTGTCTGGATAATGGCGCACATCACGCACCAGTACTGAGGATATATCTACTGCCAAACAAGGTGTTTGGTGGAGAGTCAAACACGTCCAAAATCCAGCACGCTTTTACAGCTGCAATGCTTCCTTTTGGCTGTATCCAGGGCTCTTCTCTGGTGGCATTTTAAAAAAGTTAGCGGAGGCAGCAATTGTGGCTTTCTCAGCTGCTGGTATTTTCCCTGTCCACTCAGGGTTCTGGGACCTCGGGGATGGTGGTGTTGCTGGTAGGTCTGACTCTGCAGCATCCATGTGCACAGATAAAGTTGCTGGAATATAAAATTGCAGAAAAGGGGGAACAGAGGAGGAGAGTAGGAAAAGGAAATAAAAAATGTTAGAACAAGAGACTTCATGGCAAACTCCTCATATACTTCAGAACTTATATATATATGAGGGTTTTATTTATTGAGTTCCTGCAAGTTCTGCTCCCTGCAAGTTCTTTGACGTATAAATACTTGATGGCATTAGCATCGTGGCCCTGATGATCTCCACATTCTGAACTTTCAGTTCCATTAGTCAAAGTTCCTACTGAAAAATAGAGAATTTCAAAGTCTCTGAAACATCGGCCATTTCCAGATTGCAAAGCTCAGAGAAGAAAACAGAGCTCACTGGTACTGACAATACCATGAACTTCCACATATATTCAACATGGTAAATCAGTTTACTAGAGCAAGAAGCTGCCTGCTATGCTAGGCTGGAATCCATTCTCATTTTCTCAACACGATCACTGGTTCAAAATGGAACAAGATACAACTAGCAGAAAAGATTCGCAGATCCACAGCTCAACTGAACTGTAACCCAAATTTCTAGAATGATTATAAGAAACCTGGAGATGTGACAGTTTACTTCCATTCTCAGTATTCTGAATCGCAAGCAGAACAGAGGAAGATAAAAACAAGAAATTGTCAGAAGAGTCTTTTGGGCAACCACAGGTTTTTCTGAACAAGCAACTGCTTCAGTACCCAACACATCATTTTTGCCTTGTATTCTCCCAACAGATAATAACTGCTTGTGTACTTTCATTACAAGCTGATTCTGCTGCTCTGTAGTGGATGAATGATAAAAAAAGGCCACAACAAGCCTCAACTAGAACACTGACTGCTTTGAAGTTTACATAAAAAGCCAGTATCAGTGGCTGAGGTTAGCAGTTAATGCACTTGGTAGACCCTGGAACCCAACAGTCTTGGTCATCTAAAACAGTGAGTCATTCATGCATCTACAACAACACAGCTGATAACACTACATGGCATGTTTTACTTTGAGCCTATTGATCTTCACCTGGAGGCAAGAGGAAATATGCAGAAAGAAACAGTAACAAAACAAGTGAAAAATCCTTAAATATTAATTACCACCAAAACTACACAAAGGACACTCACTAGCAGTTTCCCCACCTTTGGCTTCTCCTTATGAGGTACCATCACACTATGAGTAGATGTATCAGCATTAGCAAGAAACTGAGCAGCAAGACTCACTAACCTGCTGCTACTCAGACTGTTCTCTGATAAGCAGTTTCAGAAGCTGCTGACACCTTTACAAATTTTTTAATTAATTTATTTTACAAGTATGAACGCATACAAAGAGAAACAAAATCTATTTAAGAAGATTTTTCATCCAGATTCATCAGTGGGATGCCTGAATAAAATGTTGGTTATTTGGTTACCATGTGCACTGCTACATATACAGGTGGCTGAAACACACAACCACAAACACTAAACACATCAATGTAAAGTTGGACAGTTGTTCGCTATGTGTTTCATGACCATACACACCTGTGGTCTACTCTAACAAATGGAAGACAGACACAACAATCTTCTTGAGATCCCTTTCAAGACAGAGAATAATTACAATGAGAATAAGGAAATACTATTTCTCAGACCACAATGCCACTGAGGAATTCACACAAAAAATATACCACAATGGAGTCTAACAGAATACAAGGACACTATCAACAAATTCTGTTGCCCCTAATCTTAGATCACTGAAAGTTTGAAGGCCCTTCATCACCACAGACTTTCCTGCTGTCTAGGCACTGGCTTTTGGTCCCTGAATTGGACAAACTTTTGATCTAATCTAGTACAGCCAATGTTTCTCCAGATCTCCTTATTCCTTGGCCAAATTACATCAGTTAGACTTTTGATCTTACCCTGTTAAAGCATTATGCATTAGGAGTCACACACAGAGGTATCACGTAGTATAGAAAGCACTAACTTTCATTTTCAGTCTCTCTCAACACTCACACAAATGTATCAACTTATTTTTGATTATAATTGTCACTTCCTGAAAAGCAAATGAATTTTCTCCCCTTTTTTTCCTTTGTCTCCACATGCAGGTCTTTTCCTAAAATGCTACTTTTCAGCAACTCAGTTGCGATATTCAGGCTAGTTAGCCTCAAACTGTGGCAAATAATGGAAGTTTAATGCTATAATGACAAAGATTGTGGCATTTCTGCTACAGTAGTTTATGTCCTTTGACATTCGTACAGAGGTCTCTAACAAAACGTAACTACAAACCCTTAAGTATTGTCAGAAGAACATGTGAGAAGACAACAGAATAAACTTAGTTTGCTTGGGTCTCAAATAAACACATCCCCAGCTCCTTTCTCTCATTCCTGCAACTAGAAAGAAGCCGACATCCGCATCCCATATTCCTTTTATTAGCATCTTCTGATTTCAGCCAAATTCAACTCAAAACTTTCAGTGGATGACGGCGGCGGGGGAGGTGACAGGGGAAGATTTGTAGCTGCATGTTTAAGAAAGAAGCTAAATTCATCACAATGACAGGGGAGAGTGTTGGCAGAGATTTGAGCTATTTATTCTTTTAGGAAAATCCTATAAAGAATGACACGAGGAAGCCTCTATCTGCAGTCTTGTTCATCACACTGGTGAGGAGTCCGATAACAGATGTATGCAGTAGTGTGATTTAGTGCCGGGAGCTGGCCCCTGATGTGTATTAATACAGCGGCAAAGCGGAACGAGCCCCTCTTCATCACTCATCTCTATAAAAGAGGTGGAATCTGAGATGGCCCGATGTTCGGCAGAGCAAGCCCATTTGTTCTGCTGACTGATGGAGCCAGCTCAGGCTGTGTCCTTCACCTCCATGGGGCACTCAGGTTGCAAAAAAGGAGATCACTGAAGCAGGACCTGGTCAACAAGTGAGACGAGAGCAGTTGGACTCTGCTAAGAAGCTATTTAAAAGTGAAGAAAGCCAGCGCCGTGTATTTCTGCAGTGACAGGCATGGGCCTGCATTTTGATCCGCCCGTGTTCCACCTTTTGCAAAAGGAATAAGGCACCACAAACAGAAAGAGCTTCTGCAGTGAGAAAATGAGGCTGCCGTGATTCCTCAGGGACAGGAAATTCAGCATATGGCATCTATGCAGTGATGTGTAGGTGTACGAAGGCAGAAAAATCTGCATCTGTCCCACCGATATCCAGCAAGCATAAGATGCTTCAGTTAATTCTGCATTACTGCAGAGTAATTCTGTGTTATTTCTTTGGGCATCAGTAATTCTGCAGTCAGAGCATCTTTAACAGAAATACCACCAAACTTCAGAAATTTCCAAGTTATGTGCCCAGGTTGTGCTCCAGCTGCAACTGAGAGAACGCCGTAGAAAGTCAGCAAGGATGCAGCTTCAGTTACCCAATCACAAGAGCTTCTTTCTGTAAGTACTGTAGAAAACCCTGACCATCTTTTAACGTTGCTGGAGATGTTTCTAAGCACGTTCGAAGACAGAGATCTTTGCCATTTCTGACTATTAATGATTTTGCAGCAGTTTTCTCTCTATGATCAACACAAGCATCTTGTCCAGATTCCAGAGCAACGCTCTCCTTCCTTCGTTTGTAACACTTTATTTTTTCCCACTCCTCCTGAAAGACTATCAGACCTCTATGCTATCTTCCACTGCTGAGTTCCAATCCAGATGCAGATTCAGTTCCGTGAAAAATGTTCATCATGCACTTCATCTAATCAAATATATTTTAGATAATATTTTGAAAGATACAGGCACAGAAATAGAAGCTCTCCCTATAGAATGTAAGCAGCAATGCAGCACAGAAATTGCACTCTGAACTAAAAAACAACAGACAGGTAACAGTGTCTCATAATAATGAGACATGAACATTCATACCGAAAAAACCTGGTATACCAGAACTAAAATTCTGTGGCTACAAATATGCAATTTTATTAATCCTTTCACTACAGAAGTCTGAATACCCTAGCACAAGATACTCAAAAGCTAGAAAAGGACATCCTAAATCAACAGTCAATAACAACATTTTCATTGAGCAACAGATTATTCATTTTCATGTTCTTTTATCTTTAACATAAAACCTTTTAAACACTCTCCAATCCAGATCTCTGGCCTGGAAAGATGGCATAGCTTTCTTCCCTATTTCATTATTCTATTGTCTATCCACCTGCCCTACAATGAAACCCACCAAACATCATTCCTCCTATTAATCTTCAGTTCCATTGGCTTTTATGGTTTTCACATCATCATTTTTCCCATCAGCTCAACCAACTCTTTGTTACTGGATTGTGCACTGTCTTAATGAGCTAGCTGGAAGGACACTGGTCATTTAGTAGCAGGAAAAATGTTTCAAGCAATGAGAGGATATAGAGAAGTCTCCTAAAGTCCTCTGTGTTCTGCATACACACTTTCTCAGATTCTGAAAGATGAATAAACCAGCTTTTTAATCACTACAACCAAAGTAAGAAAAAATGTGACTTTTTTAAGCTCAACAGCAAGACAACTCCAAGAGAATACAGCTCTTCTCACTGAGTGATCACGCAAAAACTGCCCGATTTCTCCTCCTGCAAAGTGCCTTGTGGCACCCTGAAAAAGCTACCAGCTGATGTCAACCCAAAACTGGAGGAACAGTACAGCATGCTGATCATCAAGTGCTGCACAACTTAGGAACTGAGGAAGGAACTCCTTCTTGACAAAACAGATTATTAGCCACCACACAGTGAAGCACTAATTTATGCTAGCTTCACATAGCTGCATTATCAGACCTTTTTGTTAGGCAGCTTTTCATGCTACACAAAAAACACACAACATTTTCTCACAAGTTGCCTTTCTCACTTTTTGTTTTTAGTTTCAAATTGAGGTAATGCTATTTTTCACTGCTCTGACTTTGGCACTCTGCCCAAGAGGGACACGACTTTAGAAATGCTGACACACACACAAATCCAGGCTACCTGACGTTGGGCTGGACATGGAGGCTGCAGCTGGCTTTCGTTTCCTCTTGATGTCCCTTGAGCACGGTGGTCCCAGGTGTACATTTGCTTGCCTACAGAGAAATTAAAACAGCAAATCAAACTCTGTTCCAGTGTCACCTTCCCACAAGATTCTGGCTGATCATCTCCAGCCCTCCTCTGCCTCAGTCTGCCCCAGTAACCAAAATGAATCAAAGGCTTCCCAGGGAAGTTTTCCTCACACCTTTTGTTATCATACAATTAGGCTTCCATTTCTTTAAGAGCGCAAACCCATAAACTGAGCAGAATAATTACTGTTTCCTAGCATTTAAAGGATATGGAATAGTAATCACTTTTAAATAACTCTTTTGCAAAAGTAAAGACATGATCAAGCAGTGATATGACACACCCTATCATTATTTCTGCACAAGTTTAAAAAAAAGGCTGCAAAATTGCCTGGAAGAAATTACATTTGCCCACTTATTCAGGAATTATTTTACTACATACATATATTCAGAGCTGTAGAGAACATCTCAGGATATACCTATAGTCCGAATGACTACAAAAGTAAGTTCATAAATTTAGTTAGAAACTCAAAACTTTCATGCATTTTCAAAATTAAAATTTCCTTATAGATGATACAATGAAAACAGCTGAATCTGGCTTGCAATATTATAGACTTTCTGACACCTGAAAGAGAATGAAGAGGCATAAACTGTCCCAGCCACACCAGCTTTGTCAGTTAAGAAGAAACCTGCCTTATTAGGAGCGGCTCAAATAGAGCAACTCCTCCAACTTCTACATGTTGGAAGAAAGGAAGATTCATTCAGAAAAGACAGCCTGGAGCAGAAAAAAAAAAAGAAAAAAAAAATCAGCCCAGAGCATCTTCTCATTCTACAGAATGTTTATCCAAGCGCAAAAAACTTTCACAAGTTTTTCTACAAGATAACATGAGCAAGAGATCATTGCTTCATATTTCCATACCAAATTCTTCTTTTAAAAAAAAGATGTATCTGTAATATCATCTAATACAATTTAGGAAGCTGAATTTATACAACTATGAAATTTGCTGCTGTACAACTGTACAGAACAGTGCAGGGAGCACACAAGAAATCCACGTACAAGTCAAAATTACCAATTGTTTGAATGCTGCTGGGCCTACCTACTTACCTTCAACAAGTATGCAGTCACAAAATAAGAAAGAAAAAACAACAAAATAGCTACCATTCTGCATTCTCAACTGAAATTCCCAAGTTCTACATGATTTGTCATCTTAGTTTGACATTAAGGCACAACTTGAATTTATTATTTTTTTTTTTTTTAACTTGTATGAAGTTTCACCAAGGGCCAATTTTTCAAATCATTTCTAGGAGCTCTTATCAATATAATGAGGCAGAAGTCTCCTTGCAACATGAACTAATGGCTTTCAAAAATACCAGCACACCTGGAGACTGCACATGCAAATCCCACCCTTCTACACATAAATGACTAACTTGTAAGTTAACCTACGTAGGCTAAAAGTTGCTTTTGTATATAGTCGTAATGGTGGCCATACAGTATTTTAGCACGCTCTTAACAATGTATTCTCAAATATTTAAGCACACATAAATAAGGAAAAGATAGACTAATTCAAGTGGAACTTCAGGTTTTTGATTCAGTATTACAAAATAATACTACTGACTAGATGACTAAGTAGTTATATATGATAACCCAAATCATTATTACATCATAATAGAAAGGTTAACTTAATTTTATGAGCTTACCCCAATTATTAGCCAGCTGATCTTTTTTGAAGACTCACTACATACTACAGAGCAGGTATGCACAATCGTCTCCAGGGCACTTCATGCAGTTTTTCCCACTTCACAAATGTTAGAGCTAGATTTAGAATAAGAGCTCCTGGTTCTCAGATCCATGCTCAAACCACACCTATCCTTACCTCACAATTACAAAAAAAGAGTAAGAAAAATGAAAAAGGGAGAGAATCTCATAATTGTCTCTCGTACTGAAAATAAAGGCACACTGTACTCCAGCTGGAGACTAGTAGCAAGGACACTGAAACCAGCAGCCCTGCCTCTAACATACAAAGGCTTGGAGTTATAAATAGTCACCATCACACATATTTCATTCAGGTTTATCCCTTATTGATCACCCACGCTCTAGTTAGTAAATCAGGAACCTATTGATTACTCAGTAGCTCTGACTGCCCTGGTGGTAAAAATGTCATTTTCAAGTGGTTGGTGTACTTTACAGGCACTGTAAATCTGCATACAGGGAACCTCCAGGTGGTAGATACTTTGGGAGAGGATGAAATGAAAGAATGCATACAGGAATGATATACCTCATTAAAACACGGGCAGGAAGGGTTCCTGTTACAAATCATGAATTGTTCATTTTCTGGTAGATACCACACTATTGGTATTATATTGGTAAGAGAAGAAATTGGCAAATCCCAGTTGTCTTAGTTTCAGCTGGGACAGATATTACCCTCTTGCTGGTATGGTTCTGTGTTGTGAATTTAGGATGAGAACGATGTTGTTAACACAAATGTTTTGGTTTAGTCCTAGAAGTTTTCAGCTTCCTGTGTTGCCCTGACAGCGATGGGCCAGGGGCACACAAGGAGCTGGGAGGGGACACAGCCAGGACAGCTGACCCACACTGGCCAAAGGGATATGCCATACCATATGGTGCCATGCTGAACAATAAAACGGGGATTTGGCTGGAGGAACTGACTGTGCTTGGAGACTGGCTGGGCACTGGTCAGCAGGTGGTGGGCAACTGCACTAGCAATTTGTATATTCTTCTACCGTCATCATTATTACTTTCCCTTCATTTTCCGTCCTATTACACTGTCTTTATCTCAACCCACAAGTTCCACCTTTTTTCCAATATTCCTCCCATCTCACTGTCATGGGGGAAGTGAAAGAATAGCTGTGTGGTGCTGAGTTGCCTGTCGGGTTAAACCATACCAGTTTATCAGCAAACTCATAGGAACAGCACTGCCAGCAAAGTAAGGTAATGGATATGCACAGCACACCGTCTCACAGCAGACAGATGTTAACTATAAAGTGTGAAGAATCTGTGTCATGATGCAACCATGAATTAGTTTTTCAGAAAATGTAGATTTTAACAACTCCTCCAAACAGGTTAAAAATAACTCTGAGGTAGAACTGAACAGGGCCAAGAGGAAAGGATAACAGCAAATGCACATTGTAGCATTGTCACAAGCCTCCTTGTGAAGAAGTCAGAGGTACCAAGCATTGTGTGACAGATTTGAGCCTAAACTGAGAAAACACAACGGCACTTAATCTGATCTTACTGGCTTTCTATTTCCTCTGCTAGGCTTCTATATTTTGTTGAACACTGCACGAACAGTAACAAGAAAACTAGTGGACAGTGGCTGGTGATCATAAGAAAAAAAAAATTGCAGTGCTAAATCACCATTAAATCTGCTAGTCAACCAGACACTAACATGGAAATCAACCTGTCTAGAGAGAACCAAAATTCTGCTCCAGGAAGAGAAAAACAGAACACACCTGGAGAGACAAAGCAGGATCCAAAATGCAGCTTCCCTGGTAGCTACAATATATCCAATACATACAGTAACACCACAGCTTCTTACTGACAGGAGCTGGCAAATGAGAAGTAACACGTTAGAAACAAATGGTTTTATATAAAAAATCTATAGTTTCCTTCTAAACATGTCTATATGTATATTTTAATCACAAGCTAAGGAATTATCCAGGAAATACGGATTTATCTTTTGCTCAAGGTACATGGTGATTCTACATGCATCTCACACTGGAGAAAAATCAGGCTTTGCTCTGCACAAGGCTGGGATTTGTTGTTATCTTTAACGTGTCAGAAGGATTTTGAATGTTTCCTTGCTTCCAGTTTCCAGATAGTTATTATATAACTGTTTGTTTGTTTAAATTAAGTGTAACTGTATATACTGGACTGCTACCTCACTCCTACAGATCAAAGTGACTGCATGCTGGACTGTCAGAATCATACAAGCTTGCCACTGTCATAGATATAAAACCCAGAAAATTGTAGGGTTTAGGACTGCCAAGCAATACAATCCACGAAAAACAACACAAAGCACAAGCAGTCACCAGTTCACAATGAATCTAACTGAACAGAATTAGGTCCTTCAAACCCTCTCAGTCTGTAAAATGCTGTCCTCTTAAAACTCAGAGTAAAATGCCTCAATCTCAGAACAGAAGTCTTTGAAAACATCCTGCAAAACTAGCTGCAACAGTGTGTGGCCTTTTTGGAAATAGGTGGTGCATCGCACACTTGGGGGTGTACATCTCTTACTGTAATCTCATATTATTCAGTTTCTCTCCTGACAACCTCTGGAAGAAGCAAAACAAGTTCATTATATAGACAGTATTAGGTAGCCATTAATCTACTGTCACACAAACAAGGGGTGCTATTATCCTCATGTTAAAATAAACATTCAGCAGAGACAGCACCTAACAAGGGTACTACTGCTAAAAAAAAATGCCACACAACCCAAGTGCGGCTGCTGAGACGCTATATTGCCAGCAAACACAGGCCAAACGAAACATTCTTCCTGTGAATCTGGAAGCATTACCTGAGGTTTATGGTGGCACAGAGGAATTGCCAGGTCATGGCATGGATCAACGGTTGAGCACCGGGTGAGAAGGTGTGGCCAACCCGGGGAGCTCAGGTACAAGCAATACACCTGAAAGACCAGAAGGGTTGGAGCCTGGATCCACCCCTCTTCACCCTCACTTAAGGGTTAGCAGCCGAAGGAGCAGCATCTCTCCAGATAGAGGTTGCACTCCTCTTGAGCCACTGCTGGTCACAAGAAATGAGCTAATTTTCCTTCTTTGTTATCTTCTATAGCTTTACAGTACATGTATCTCAGTAGAAGGTATTATCGTTACCTTCTTTTGCTACCCAAGTGGCTTCACAAAATTAAGAGTAGGAGCAGAATTTCTCCTCCTCTTTGAAACTACAGACTCAGATGGGCACCAAAGTTTGATCTGCACTTAACTTTTGTAAATCAATACAAGTCTTGTGCATAAGAGAGTCTCCTCTGCTCTGCAGAACCTCATGGGACAACTTCTAGAGCAGATTTCCAGATTCCAAAGACACTACAAGTTAGTTCACTTCTTCAATCATCTGAATCTAATAAGCCTTCATGCAGCAATGCTCTGTTCCCCTATGCATTCTAATCACGTAGCAGTTTCATTCACTAAAGTTTGCATACAGTGAACAGAAAGGAACACATTTTTTCAATCATTACTCAAGTAAGCATTCTAAGTAGAGATTATGTGATCCCATGTATTGTATTCTCTCTTTTCATATAGATCTATACAACACGGGTTTGCCAGTAAGAGCAGATACTTAATACGTGCCTGACCTGAGTACACAGATCTGGCAAAAGCAATATACTTCATAGCAGAAGAAAGCAGTAATAACTAAACAAGATGCTGAAACCAAGGGGAACTCATTTATTTTTCACTCTGGAGAATTAGAATTCACCAAAATGGAAGCATTAGGCCTTAGACAACTGATGCTAGACTGCTGTTTGTTGCATGCCCGTCAGAAGAATTCACTTATATCCCCAACTGGAATATTAGTAACAAAGGAAGACATGGAAGTGTTCTGGCTAAATGAAGAAAAAAAAGAAAGGGAAGAATGATACCTAAAGCAGCTGATGCATAAACATACATATAGACATCTCAGGAAGATGAAGATGTGTGGATAGATTGCACGGAATAAACTGGATACTGTCCTGACCAAGTGGGAGAGCATGAAATTGTGAAAATTCATTCAATCCTTCAGCTACCTCAGGAAAGGCCTGACCCACTTGCAAGCAATCTCTATATTTCCATATGCTTGGATAAGAGGCCAAAACACCAGGATCTCTGTACAGATACAACAGAATGAGGTTTGCATAGACACGCACATTTCTAGAGCTGGAATTGCAGACGTTCCTCAAATCTCCAACTGTATCACCTACTTGCCATCTCACCGGGCACTGACATCCACTTTTCTTAAGACATTAGTTTTCACCCATAACCCTAATTTCAAGACTAAGCAAACAATAAATGAAATTAGGGACAATTTATTGCCTACCCTCACTTCTAATTCTACCTGTTTTACAACTCAAATTGAAGGGAACATTGGTTCTAGACTCTTCTGGAACTCACCCTGCCTCAACAGAATTACACCCCACGAAACAACAACCTATCACATTTTTCCACTGACAGATTCACTGACTAGCCAAAGTCTAATAAAATATTCTGCTTAAGCCTGTACAAAATTGTATCAAAACCAGCGTTGCCAGCAGGAGCAGAGAAGTGATCATCCCTCTGTACTCAGCCCTGGTGAGGCCACACCTTGTGTACTGTGTTCAGTTTTGGGTCCCTCACTACAAGAAAGACACCGAGGTACTGGAGATGTCCAGAGAAGGGCAATGAAGCTGGTGAGGGGTCTGGAGCACAGGCCTTATGAGGAGCTGGGACTGTTTAGTCTGGAGGAGGGGAGGCTCAGAGGTAACCTTATCGCTCTCTACAACTACCTGAAAGGAGGTTGTGGTGAGGTGGCAGTTGGCCTCTTCTCCCACGTAACTAATGATAGGACTAGAGGGAATGGCCTCAAGTTGTGACAGGGGAGAGTCAGGTTGGACTTTAGGAAATACTGCTTCTTTGAGAGAGTGGTCAGGTGTTGGACTGGGCTGCCCAGGGATGTGGGGCAGTCGCCAAGCTTGGAGGGGTTCAGTAAATGTTTAGACGTTGTACTGAGGGACACGATTTAGTGGGAAATATTGGTGATTGTTGGACTGGATGATCTCAGAGGTCTTTTTCAACCTTGATAATTCTATGATTCTATGAAAATCCTCTTCAAGTGGAGTTCAAGATAACAATTCTTTTCAGACCACTCTTTCTCCCAGAAAGGTAAGTGGGTAGAAAGGAATGAAGGGAGGATCACTTGGGCTGTCCATGCCACTCTCGTCTTGCTTGCTTTTAACAGCCAGCATCGTCAAGCAGAAACCTTAACAGACAAGACATGATTAGCAAACGCTTTGTGCTCTTAAAGGAGAGTAATTATAGGCATGTGAAAAAAGGAAGAGATCCCTGAGGTACTCTTACTTGCATGCCTCCCGAGAGGCAGCAGGGCCATTAAAAATTCCATGATGAAGAGGAAAAACAGCCTGGGAACAGCCAGGAGGCAATACAGCAAATTAATACACCAGTTGTCCCTTGGGAGGGCTGCAAGAAAGCAGGAAACTCTCCTTGCTTCACAAAATAAAATTATACCACTAATGATAACAGTCACCACACACACAAAACTGCTTCTAATGATGGGTGTGAAATTCCCAGCGCTACGCACACACTTTGAATGAATCTCTTCTCATCACTGATATAAAGCAAGAAAGGTAATCTTGGAAGTGTACAATTCACACAGCCATTCAGACAAGACTTCCCAAAGAACATTCCACACAGAATCTCCTTGACAATGAAAAGCCTTTCCTGAACACCTCTATCTGTGCTCAGGACTTTGGCTAACAGCTTTGCCTAAATGAAGCACTGCGTGACCAATCACGTGCTGCACCTCGAGATGAAGTGCACCAAAATCTACCACAGAGGCAAAGAAAACGCTTCCATGGCATAGAACAGGCTCCAGCTGGTAGTTACACATCCACTGGTTAGTGGGCATGGTAGAGAGTGGCTGGCAGCTGGACCAGGTGATCTTCAAGGTCTTTTCCATCCAGAACAATTCTGTGATTTGTGATAGAAGGAATTCAACAGAAAGGTATTTTTCCACTGCACAGAGGGCATGAGATTAAAGAAACTGGATATCCATAACATCAAAACAGGTTCTTCTCTAAAACATTTCACATTGCTCTCAGGACAATAGCCTTCCCCACCATATTCCGACACATTTCTGAGTAGAGTTTCTCCAGGACCAAATGCAGGCTGACAGAACTTGCTAAAGAGCAAGCTATAGGAACTGACTCCATCCATGAAAAGAGAGGAAAAGTAATTGGGAAACACCTGAAGAACAGCTCCTGTTAAGAGAATGTTCCTGTGAAGGAGTCAATTTTCCTCTGTGCTCCTGGCAGCATCTCTATGTTAACATCTTGCACTGGAAAGCTCACTCATACATGAGACCATATACCATTTTTTAATTCTTACCATAGTTTTGCACTCCCTCCTCCCCAAATTCTTTCACACATTAATAATATTTCACAATATAATAAGAAGCTACTTTTTCAAACAACAGATACTTACAAAAATCCACTCACTGCTGGAATGGAACAAACTACTTCCCTATCAACATTCAGTAACGAATCATTAGGATTATGTCAGCCACTTATTCTCTATAGGAAGGAGCCAAGCTCACACCGATAGGATATATACATACAGTAAATATAAACAAATATGATCACTCCAGCTTCAGAAACATCTTGTCACAATCAGTGGCTTTGGAAAAGGCCTTCACTGATCATTATAAAGGGAGACAGTTTGCCCTGTTCAAATTTGAGAGCTGTCGAGATCCCCTTTCTGAAGAACGAACAGAAAACAGTTGGTCTCCCCTGTAACTGTTTCACAAAGTGAAACACTCAAGGCACAAGAAAGGTTACCTTCACTGCAAATGAAGAGACCAACCAATCTTCTTGCTTCACAGGCACTAAACATCCCCAGACTGGTGCAAAAGCACCAACTTGCTTATGCACAACCTTCCAAACTATTTTTGTTCTCATCCATATGAATGTTTAAGAGCTGATTTCTCTCCCCCCCAAACCTTTTTAGCTTTAGCATGCTGCCTACAGCAGCATGAGGTCATGGTGCGGTATCACAAAATTCCCTGCAGAAGCCAGAGGGAGGAGAGGCTTTGCTGGGTAGATGCCAAGCTTTTGCTCAGACACACACAACCTCAGTACATTTTTCATGCTCTATTTGCTAATTAACAAGGGGAAAAAAAAAAACCATGAAGCTGAAAGTCCAGACGGTTCTTTCAGATTTGTTCCTTTGTACAAGCACGTGAGCAGAACTGTGTCCCAAGCAGGACCTTGCTTCCTTGTAAAGTGGAAGAGCTCAAGGGCACCTTACCTTTAGATAGTCACCTGCAGCACAAGAACAGAAGTCACTGCCAAGGACAACTCTTGGATTTAATTTAGGATTATTCAGCAGAAGGTGCCTCAACAGCAAGTTAACCCCAACCATGCAAACTCAAATATACCTCAACATTTGGGCAAATGCTACAGGAATGCAGAAAAATACCAAGCCCTTGGGAGTCACCTAATCTTGTTCTGATTTTAATACTGGACAGTAATACTGTACCCATTCATACCAAAGCAACAGAGTTGCAGCAACTGAATGCACAAGCAAGAACAGATTACATCTGTTTGTAAAAACACAGTATGTCCTGCCTAGGTGCCTTCAATACACTCTAAGTGCCTACAGTACTGAGTGTGCCAGATAATCTGCACTGGTATGTTCTATGCTAAGTTTGAACACAGGTCGCCTAGGGAAAAGTGCACTAACTTCCATGCCTGTGACAACTGTTCAGACTGCATAGTACTGATGAAGATACACATGGAAGGGAACCAAGACAACCCAACGGAGCAGAGAAAGGGAGTTACCTGGCAGTGCAGTGTGCTGGTGAGCATCTTCGGTGGGAAGCATCAGCAAGCACATCCAGAGAGTACAGAGGAGATAATGGATTGAACTGGAAAGTCAAGAGATTTTATTTAAGCAAACCATTAAAAGAAACAGTCTCCAGATACAGCTGCTCAGACCTATTCCCTACAGCTGTTCATACAGCATAAGAACACCTCTCTGAAACATCAAGGGATGAGGTTAGATGAGAACTGACTCTCAGTTCAGACAATGGCCTTGCACAGGGTGCAAATCTCATAACCATCTTCTCCCAGCAGACAGCCCTACAAGCACACTTCTTTTTCAACTCACATTATTGGAAATGCTGATTGACTGAGAGCATGCTCAAAGAGCTCTATTGCTGCACATGAGTAAAAAAATCCATCTCCCTCTAGTGAAGCTCCTTGTCCACATTCATATTGTAGAATGAAAACTTAATGCTATGACTAAGGAGAGCACAGAACTTCCCAACAGTCTCAATATTCCCCTATATTCACACATGTCACTGAAACAGATCTCTAAAAGGCTCAGGTCCACCAGGGTCTGCTCACAATGAGCTCAAAATTCATTCCAAAGCAAGTGAGCTGCTCCTCTCAGTTACAAGCTTTACTTGCAAACTGCTTAAAACAATTTTCTGAAATCATGTGTGGTCAGGCTAATCTTACATCCTTTGTACGGCATACACTGACAAATCCTGAAGCCATCAAGCCTGTGAAAGACAGTTTATTGTGGAAGATGCAGCCCTACATTTTTTTAAGGGATGGGAAAGACATGGAACAATCTACTCAGTGTAGAGAGCAAACCTAGCTCAATATGCAAATAGATGGCTTAGGCTAGTAGTTGCCCTAGGGTGTCCACATTACAGTTCCATTCAATGTCTATTTCTTTATAATTCACACCACAAGCAGGAAAATTCATTTCCATCTGTTTTGCAAAGTGCTTGACTGATTTCCAGAATGTTTGCTCTTATATTACTAGGATTACTGACGCATTTTTAAATAGGGAAAATCCACAGCTGTAGCAACTCTTGTCATCAATGTTATATGGAAGCCTAGAATTCAGTATTAGGCCTTTATCTTCAAACTTTCTGATGCACTACAAAGCTTCTGTTTTCAGTGAGCTGCTCCTTAAATTGGGCTATTAGTTTACCATCAGTGAAATAATGCTGCAGCTGCACCATAGGGGAGAATCATCAGTACCTCTCTGTAGCTGAAGCAAGTTCAGTTATGAAAAATAAAACTAATTTATATTGGTCATTTATAAGCTGAGTTATCTCTCTTATCTTTAACAACATAAAAGTGGTATGTGAAATGCTGTCATTAATAAGAAATGCACAGTTGCACAAAGGCCATAAAATTATCTCTTTGCACAAAGATTTAAAAATAATTTCTTGCCATATGTGTATCTGTAGTCACCTAGAGTGTAAAACAATGTTTGGTCCTAGTGTTCACTAACCAAAAGTCAACTAGCAATAGAACAGAAGGGTAGGAACACCATTACAGCACTACCCTGTAAGTGGAAGATCTTTTTTGCTAGCCACTATCTGGAACCTGGAGTCTTACATCATGAATAAAACAGCCTCCTACCACTGAAGGTATATAAAATTTACAAAGGAAGAATACAAAAGAAGTGCCTACACCACAGATTCATTCACTTAAAAGAGTGCCCATTCATTTCTTTCTATTTCCTGTTACATCTGCTATTTAATTACAGCCAGATAACAATTTGTGTTTTTAATTTTTTCCCCTTCTCTGTTGATGAGACTATCAGGAAGGAGCTTGAGCCAAATAAGGCAAAACAAAGCATGTGAAAAATGTTCTAATTATCATGGAATTCTGTGAGGCCAAAGTTTCTCCTGACAAGAGTCATTCTCCCTCCCACAAATTATTGGAGAGGAAGGCAAACACTAACCTGAAACACCGGGACAACAAAAGGAGCCCCTGAGCTACTCAGACAACATAATGCCAGAGACATGGGTTGCACTCAAATCCAGAAGACAACAGTTACCAAAACAAAAAGGGACAGAGCTACTGGAATAGGCTGCCCAGAGATGAGGTTGACGCCCCATCCCTGGAGACTTTCAAGGCGAGGCTGGACCAGGCCCTGGGTAACCAAACCTAGTTGTGCACATCCCTCTTCATTGCAGGGGAGTTAGACTTGACGATCTTTAAAGATCACTTCCAGCTCTAAAGGTTCTGTGATTCCACATTACCTCATGTGCTAAGGCCACGGTGTGAGGGAAATCAGAAGCCAGCATTTTGTTCTTTCTAGAGAGAAGGAAACCAAGAAAATAAAAAAGGTAGAGCATAGACAGCTTACCTGGTTGCGATCTCTCTTCCCCATTGATGGTAACCAAAAACTGGAAGGAGGCAGAGTTGGAAGGGCAGGTGGGAGCCATGCCACGGAAGGAATGAACATTGAGGGGAAAAAAGAGGATGAGGATGAGGAAAAAAGGGCAAAGGAAGAACAAACACGGAGGAAAAAAGAGAGATTAAACATCACTATTAAAAACAACAAATGCCAAATCCAAGTAAGAAAACTGAGGACTGACAGCTGGTGAAGGCTGGACCCACTGCATTACAGGTGGAGAGGAGCTACATCTACCTAATTACAGCCCCACAAGAACAGCATTAGAGGGATGCCAAGGGACAGGCACCATCTCTATTTCTATTGCTGACTCTAATTTTAAAACACAGTTTGGGGAAGGAGACATAACACACCCAAGAAAGAGAAAGCAAATTCACTACTGCCTTATCAGCATCGTTTCTGCAGTCACAAAAAACTGACTGCAACCAAAAGGGCATTTGAGCAGCTTCTGCATACTGGGGCAGCCTACTAACAAAAGGAGAGTCAGCGATCACAAAAAAGAAAACAGAAAAACTGTCAGTAGAGGACTGTCTCCCACTCAGCAGTTGTCTGTATTCTTTATTTACCACAAAATTCTTCACTCCCTTCAGTCACAGAAGGGAAGAGGATCCCAAAGTTCTTCCTCCCCTCCCAAAACCTTACACAACAGCTGTTAAGCGCCTTACTCTTTCTGGCGTGGATCACTAACATGACCTAGCCTCTCAGTGCCCACAGTGCTGATGGAGGTCTCCTGAAACACAAAGAGAGGTAAAAGGTTGCAGACTCATGCAGAGAGCAGTCATGGTTTACTGCTGCTAATAAAAACAAACATTGCTGTACCAGCTCAGTCTCAGCTAAACATCCTCTCCTTTTAGAACCCCAACTGAAGGCCAAAGACCATTTTGGTTTTATTTTATTATTGTTATTGCTGTTTTTTAATTGTTTTAGTGACTACAATTGCTTGCACAGGGGTGCACCAAGGACTGGACCAGCACAAAGCATACAGCACAAGGACACAGTTAAGAATGGGGAAACTGGAATCAGTTTACACTAGTCAGCTGGGCCACATGCAGGCTGAGAGACAGAATACTACAATATCTTACTAAAAAGAATGTTCATCACAAAACTGAATTCAGTCTCTCCAGCCAAAGGGGAAAGGGATCCATCAAGTACAGGTGAAAGAAACAAAGAGGAAACATGAAGTTCTCCCTCTCTAAAAGCAGCAATTTAGTAGAAGGGCATCTAACAGCTAAAGGAAAGGTGTATCCCAGGAGAAAGGGCTTACTCTGCAAGCACATTTTTTTTTTCTCTGACTGATGCTGCCTTGTGTTATGTGCTTGATAATGGCATACACACATAGCCTGACACAGCAACTGTTCACATCTGCATAGCAACTGCATCAGAAAAGAGAAGTGCTTTGCAGAATGTCTGAAAATGAGGATAAAGAATGCACAGGTAAGATTCTCCAGAGCTTCTGCCAGGTTACATAGGCAAAAAACATTCGAAGTTCAGGGGGAGTAGTAACAGCAGGGGTGAAAGATGGGCTATTTGTTACAGCAGGAAAATTATTAACTTAAAGTGCAGTAATGTTTAAATTTACGGTTTATTACTGTGTAAATTACAAGCCGTACTTTTGATAATTAGCAGCTCGCTGGCGGGGAGCTCTGAACGAAACTCATTATTTATGATTACAATTTAGAGAGAGATGGGGAAGGGGGAGCAGTGACCTCCACTGCAAATGACAAAGATCCCTTTAAGGTGATGAAGATGAATTAAACAAGTAAATATTATCTTTCTCATTTGGATCATTAGAAGTGCTGGCAATAGACCCAGGTGGCCTGAGGAATCTACCCAAAGCTAGTCTCTTGCCAGCTGATAATTCATATTTTAAGCCCCTGTTATAACTAAGCAAGGTGAGTGGAAGGAAGAAGGGGCAAACAAGGATCTCTCAAGTGTGACAACAGTTTCTGAGGAAGAAATCACACTCACCTAGAAAGCAGACCCATGTGACACTCCTTAGAGATAAACAAACTCTCTAAAGCCAGCCAACTAAGAATATAAGCCACTACATTCAAGAGCACATCTCAGTAAAACCTAGCACAGGCCACAACCTCCACCCTCATTAACATCTTTCATAGAAGACAACTGCACTCCACACTTCAAGATTCAGACCAGATGCCTGCCTCTTTTAGACAGGTATTTGCCAAGTATCATTTATTCTTTTAAGAACAGGATGAGCTTTTTTTTTTTTGCTGTTTACCCTACAAATAAAAGACCTGGTCAGTGGCTTTGGGTAACACCGCGTATACCTACAATTTCACCCTCTTTCACTTCAGAGTCAGCTTTCTGCCCTTGTAGGTGTTACTAGTACAAAAAGGTCTCATGCCTCATCATTTTGCCCTACATTCTGTCTAACTCTTCTTCTATCATTCATCACCAGACCTCCTTTTGTATCAATTTTAGCACTAACCAACTCTCTTTGACCCATTACATCTGTCTTAAAATCTATATTCTCTCAGTCAGCTTCCAGCAATCAAAGCAGTTTCACCAAATGGAAGAATTTATGAAATAAAAACGTACAGTGCCCCCTTTCTGCAGGAAAGGGCCCATGTACTAACTTTGAATAGTACTCTAGTTCTAATCAGCACTGGAAATAAAGAGGTACTATGTTGCAAAGGGCAATACCTTGCCAACAAGCCTCCTTCGACCTTTCCGCAGACAGCGGGCAGCAGCTCCTGGAAGGCGGTTCAGGCGAGCGTGAAATCCTGAAAAAAAAATAAAAATCAAACACATGAAAATTGAGGATTATTCCCAGTAAAACAGCAGGAAAAATAATCGGTTTAGTGGTCAAATCAATATTTCCACCTCTGTTTCTCAATAGTAGATATGCCTTTTTATTGACAAACCAAAATCTTTACTTAACAAAAACCAAACTATAAACAGAACAGAGGGACTCTGAAGGATAAGTTCTTTGACATCTTCTCCACATCATTACAAAACACAGATCATCAAAAGCATTTTACGTTGCAGCACCTATGAGTGAAATTTACCCTTACCATCACAGCAGAAGATCAAAAACACCTTATTCCTTATGGAACTCACCTCTTTGAGCTGGTCGTGAGGGCAAGAGAAATGTGGAATCTGAGAGCTTGTCCAGGCCTGAGTCAATCCGTTCCACTTCAGAACGGTGGTCAGCTCCCCACTTGGGAAGAAGGTTGGGGACAGTAAATCCTGGGACACACTCTCCCTCATAAAACCAATCACTCTGCTCATCATCTCCTAAATAAACAGATTGAAATTATCCACAAGAAAAAACAACGTGCCCTGTGACTGTCCCACACACTACTACAGGTAGGCATTTTTGGATGTAGAACAACAGCTGAAGTCCATTAGGAATTCACTCCTGAAGAACCTTGTATTTGTATTCTGTTTCAATCATTCTGTGACTATGGGATATCACTAAATGCTTTAAATTATCCAACTCGGTCTACACAATTTCCCTACAGAACAAAGCCTTCTTTATAGACCTGCCTAGGGCAGCTTTAGCACTCTGTTGTGGACGCATCTCATCAACCTTAGTTCAATGCTGTGTGATGTCTAACGCACATCTATTTCTGTCACAGTAATTACTTCAGAGAAAGAGAAGGCAGTCATTTGGCACACTGTATAGGCAACCACAGGAAAAATCTCACAACAGGACAGCAGGCTCGCTGTTTTGGATAAGCAAAAGGAACATAGTCACTGATGAAACAGATCTCCTAGCACAGTAGCTAACAGGAATAAACAACGTTCTCAGAACCACAATCTTCCCTGCAAAAGTAGAGCACCAACAACAGAAGTAATTACGAAGGTCTCCACAAAGCATGGCCACTGTAATTAATATAGCTGCAGTCTTAATAGTGAACTGCCTTACACACCATTCATGGTAAACCTGCTGGCCAAAAAGCCCCTGGAAGTAGCACACGAGCAACATAAAAAAAAAAAAAAAAGGAAACACAACAAAGAAGTTCTTTATGATCCCAACTGAGAAACAGCACTGTTTAATTGCAAAGTACTTCATCGTGCCTTAAAATACTACTAACACACCTGACCTAGGGAAAACATTTGCCTACCATTAAGACTCAGGTATTTCCAGTCACTCTCCTTTCTCTCTTAACCAACTCACATTATCTGTGACTGAACTCCGTTTTATCTTCAAAAAGAAAAAACCTTCATGCTGGTAAAACTCTTGCAATCTTACATGTAACAGAAAAAGCAGCACCCATAACCAACTCCAATCATTAATAGCTAGGACAGCCAGAACACCTCCTCCCAAAGCTATAAGCATGTTTCATCAACTGACGTATAATCATATTTATGCACATAAACATACACACACACACCCCACACTTCCACCTACCTTTAAGCAAAAACCAAGTAAGGTTGTCTAGTTCTTTTTAAGTGACCATACTACATATGAAAATATCCCCAAACTTTTGGCTCTATGAGCATAGCGCACCTCAAATCACTTCTTCCACAAGACAAACATTAACAATGAAGATCATATGCTGATACTTCTTCAAATTTCACAACAAGAGATTCATTTAACAAAAACGTGCAATAAAATTATAAACTAGGACCATTTTCCACTCACTGAAACATACTGGAAGCTGGAAAACATCTTGGCCAGCATAAACTACTTTACTGCATAAACAGTTTGAGCAGGCAGAGGTGATCATAAACTTCTTACAGGTATGCATATGTGCAAACATGCACAGAGCCTACACCAACATTGCCTTCAGTGATGAGCTAAAATTTCAACCTTTCAGTCAACACACAATGCCATCGTCTGATATGTAAGTGCTCACTAACTTCAGCTCTCCCAGCAGAGTTAAATGCAAAAACAGGGGATGAGAGATTTTTTTTTTTTCTGTTGCTCTTGAAGAACAGAATACTGAAAATCGTTATTTCTCAGCAAAGGGCAAAGCTGATCTCTGAAATTCCTACCCTAGGCAAAGTGTTAGAGCCACCTCAGGTCACAACTACACACCTCAGATCAGCCCTACAGCCTAATATAATCAGAAAAAACGTACACATATTTGCTAGCATCATGTTGCCCCTCACCCAGACACTTGGGTCAGTAACAAGTGGAAGCAGTATTTCTTACCGAGTTTAGCACTCACATATTCCCAGGAGAGATCTCATCCAAATTACAGCTTTTGACATATGACAGAATAGACATCAGCACAAGCTGCACAGACTTACAAATCAATCTCCAGGGTCATACCCCACCTGCTCCAAATACAACAGTCCCATGCCTACTGCAAGTGCTTTCACACTTACTTCTACCTTATCTCTCATAAACTGAACACTTCTCACTGATAAATAAAATCAGCATTCGTTCCACACCCAAAAGCCCTAAGAAACCATTTCTCCAATAGACCTTGAAGATACTAGGCTCAACTAATACACACAACAGCAATGCTCTTCTTAGCACAGTTCTTTAGATGACTTGATAGTACTGATTATTTTGGAGTTGTTTCTTCCTTCCCATTGGGAAAAAAAACCAACAGATAGGGCTCTAGTGGTAACTAGATAACAATTAAAACATCTATAGAAAGACACTGTGAATTTTACTTTTTTTTTTACTATGGAGAGCTTTAAATTTCTCTTGTCTTTCTAGGCCTTGCCATAATAGTAGTTCATTGGGGTTGGGTTTTTTTGGTATACTAAATGTTATAGATCTGATATGAACGTGAGAAAGAACATTTCTTTACAGTGTGACGGAGCACTGGAACGGGCTGTCCAGAGAGGTTGTGGAGTCTCCTCCAGAGATATTCAAGACCCACATAGATGCTTTTCAGGCAAACTACTACAGGGGACCCGCTTTATCAGGGGTTGGTCTAAATGATCTCCAGAGGTCCCTTTCAACACCTATGATTCTGTGATATACAGGAGTGTACTGCTACCAAAGCTGTACCTTTATGACCCTCAGATCATTTTGATAACTTCTGGCACCTCACAGCCACTGGACTTTTACCCACATTCTCTTCCCTGTCTGGCTTCAAATTCAGATCTTTCTTTGGATCTGGCAAGGGAAATTCCCCATAACATGAGGAATATTTCAGGACAGTTGTTACCTTGGCGGCCCTCATCATTGGTAAACAGTCCGGTATCACTGCTGCTGCATACACTGCTCGTTTCACTGGAATAAAAACAAACAAATGAAAAAAAAACATTGTTACAACACCAGCAAATACCAAACAAACATTTTACTAGTTTATCTGAGCTCATAATACTTTACATCACAGAAATTGGGTATCAGTGCATTCCGTATACATGGCTGGGTCTAGCATGTGTCATGGTGGCTCCCTGTCAAATCCTAGCAATGCTGTATCACTCGACAAAAAGCAGAATCTTGTATCTAGTCTACTTCTAAGGTATCAAAAAGTAATTAATACACTGGCAATTGCGTGGGGTACTAGATTTCATAACCTAACTATGACATTGTCTGGAATCTCACTAGGAAATTAAGTGCAGTTAACTGCCCTGGGGTTACTTAACAGATACTCAAAAGCCTCTTAAGTTTTGTACTTCAGGTTTCTTCTTCTCAAACGTGTTACCCAGCTACATAAGGCTCTCTTCAATCTACAGCAACTTTTACCTCCTTTGCAGGGAAGAGAAGCAGGTACATTTGTAACTCTCCAGCTAAAAAGCATAGCATGATTTGCTGCAGCTGAATGCCGCTCAGCACTGTGCATTTTGCATTTACTGAAGCAGTTACAAGGGACTTACTCTTGAATCAAGGAATTAAACAAGAAATTAATGCGTTGACTGTAAAATTGGATGAATGTTTGCACCAGAAATACACGCACACACAAGTCAGCCCCAAGCATCTGACAGCTCTACTGCTGATACTAAATCAGTCCTCAGGCACTTCATAGAAAGGCTTAGGTTGGAGGGACCTCAAAGCCCACCCAAATCCCAACCCTGTGCCATGGGCAGGGCTGCCCCACTAGATCAGGCTGCTCAGGGTCCCATCAATCTGGCCTTGAATGTCCCCAGGGACAAGAGGCATCCACAGCTTCACTGAGCAGCCCATTCCAGCACTTCACCATCCTTTAAATAATTTCCTACTACATCAAACCTAAATCTCCCCTCTTTTTGTTTAAAGCTATTCCTCCTGGTCCTATTACTACTAGACTGTGAAAAAGTTGGTCTCTCTCGTGCTTGCAAGTCCCCTTAAGTACTGGAAGGCTACAATGAGGTCTCCCTGGAGCCTTCTTTTCCCTGGGCTGCACAAGCTCAGCTCCTTCAACCTTTCTTCATAGGAGAGGTGCTCCAGCTCTCTGACCATCTTTGTGGCTCTCCTCTGGACCGTCTCCAACAGCTCCTTGTTCATCTCGTGTGGGGGCCCCAGACCTGCACACAGTACTCCAGATGAGGCCTCGTGAGGGCAGAGCAGCCACACACTGCTGCCACCTCTCTTTTGATGCTGTCCAGGATTGGCCTTCTGAGCTGAACTGCACTTCAGGTAATACTTCCTCCAATTTAGCTGAGAAATATCATAACAAGTGGTAACTACTTACTGCCCTTACACCCCCTTAGTACTAAGGTCCCATAGGAGATATGAACATCAATTCAGAACTAGAACCAAGCTCTGATTGAGGAGCATTGTTACAAAGCTCTCTGGCCTCCTACAGGGAAACTGAGTCATACTGACACCAATATCAACAGAAAACCCCTTGATTCACAATCAAAAGGATGAGAGATCATAAGAAGCATCACCCCAAATAAATGCAGGAACATAATTAAACGTTTTCAGTTTCATTATGGTATTAAATTTTATTTTTTATTATGTTACTTTATTATTTAAACGTTATTAAAAATTTTGGAGCACATTATTGCTCTTGGAAAATACACTCTTGAGTACAGCCAAATCAATTCATCATGCTGGATATCTATAAACTCTGCATCTTCATCATTATACAAAGGTCATATAAATTTTTAAGGATGAATGGTTGGTATATCATTCCCACATTTCAGTATGTAAGTTAATATCAAATTCCAGCTCAATCCATTACAGTGTGTGGTTGTCCATTTGCCCTCCCACATATACAACAAAGCAATTAGGCCAAGGACTGATAACCATGAGTCATTTGTTTCATTCCTAGCTCTCCTACCAACTCACTGTATGACCCAGGGCAAATCTCAGTGTGTCTGCTTTCTCCTTTGAAAGCCTGGATTAAGAGACCTTATGAGCAAGGATTGAGTGACTGCTTCATATGGGTTTGAAGCATCACCAGAGAAAAGATGCCAGAGAAAGGAAGAAGCGTTACGTAAGATTCCAGATCACTTTAACTGCACTTGAAGCCTTCTGTCATACTGACAGCTCCTTTGCTCCTTACAGATACACGTTATTGCCAATGCCTTACTTGAATCAACTTTCATGGATCCCACTTCACCCTCTTTACAATTTCACACTTCAGAGCTAACACAAACTAGACTCCTCCACAGGCCTTTCTACAGGTCCAGTAAGCACTGATTAATGACCTCCACTTGCAAAGGAGGCTACTTACCTTAACCATGAAATAATGAATCCTATTGATCCGACAACCTACTGCTATAGAGTGTTATTGATCACCCAATCTTTGGTTAAAATGGTCCTCATTTAGCAATTTCACTGTTGCAAACACCTGGAGCAAAGCATGCTTATAATTAAATAGTTTGGGGGAGTTAAAGTGAGAGGTGATGGACAGAGATCTCAGGTTTACCCCATTTATTCTTTCTCCTGAGCTATTGTTTGTGTCAGGAGGGATATTGATTTTCTATAAAAATAAGAAAACAAGAGGCACCGAGGGGCTGCAGAAGGTCAGGCTGGGCTGGAGGAGGAGGGGAAGCTGAACACTCTGTCTCTGTCATTTGCCTTCCAAGAGAGGAATTTTTTCTTTACCGAGAGATTGGGTTTCAATTCATCAGCTTAGCCAGGCTCTCCACTGCCACTGCAGGCTGTTAGGAAAACAGCCCTCTTCCAGTGAGTAAAGGCAAGTGCACTACACACTTGAGAAATGATGGCTACAATCCCAGGCCAACACACATCAGCAGCAAACCAGCAAAGTCACACAGAGCCACTGGGGGAGGGCAATGACCAGCTCAAAAAAGTGAAGTTACATCACTTGAGAGTAGATCAGACAAACCACAGAGCTCTCACTACTAAGCACATCATTCAAAGTGATTTGTCAAACAACTCTTGACCATGATTTGCTCTGGCTTCAAGTTAAACCCAGATCATTCTGAAAGCGCTCAGCTTAGACCAACACGAGGAGCTTCAGCACTCAATATATAATTTCCCTATGCTTTATTATGGCTGCAGGGAATCTCAGAGCATTAGAGGAGAAAGAAGGGCACGTTACCTTAGCAGTTAATTGTCACCCCTGCACAAGCATGCAGATGACTATTTAAACTAAGACCACTTGCTTCTTGTTATCACAATTATCAATGTCAGGCTTTGAGTCATGCCATCACCCAACCCAGAAACACGTTCCTGCACACCTTTCCTCCTCACAGCGTACACTGAAATTTGGCAATTTCAAATATTTCATTTCACGTACACTACGTACACGCCTACAAGCAAACTTCCCATTAAATATACATTTCCAAAGCTTTCTCAGTGAATCAGTTTATTTCCTGAATATAGTAGGCTTTTGATCTGACTCAGAACAAGGAGCTCTCTTGAAAGCAGAGAAAACAGTGATTATTTCATCATCTAAGGAGATCTACTCCTACGTAACATAAAAATGAAACAGCCTCTAATTGCAGCAGGGGATGTTCAGAGTGGCCATCGGAGGAATTTCTTTACAGAAGGGGTAGCCAGCATTGGAAATAGGCTGTCCAAAGAGGTGATTAAGTTGCTATCCCTGGAGGTATTGAAGAGACGTGGATGTGGAAGTGACAAGGTTTAGCAGTGGAATTATAGTGATAGGTGGATGGTGGGAGATGATGATCTTAAAGGTCTGTTCTAACCAGAATGATTGTGATTCTATGAACAGAAATGGAACCAATACAGTATCAAGTTGCTCCATACATCACTAGATCACAGTGGACTGGTTCCAGGTACTGCAAGCTTTATTAGTCGCTTTCCCACCTTGTGATGCCAACATACCATCCTTTCTCATAGGTATCCATTTTTCTTCTCTCTTCCTCAGGCTATGCTTGTTATACAGCTGTATGAAATACCTCTCTCATGGTAGCAGAAAAAGGAGCAAAGCAGCAGTAGCAGAGCAAGAGTGAGGTAAGCAAAGCCAGTTTCACTTTGCTAGCAGCAAACCGCTATATTTAGAGCAGCAGAGACCAAGCGTGATCCTTCACTGCTGCAAGGGGCAGTCCACAGCAAAGAGGGTTATGTGTGTTTTTCTCTCCAACTTTGACACTCTTGAGTGAATCACAGCACAGATCACATTTGTGGTGCTGGAGAGGTCAAATATTCTGACCTCTGGATCTCTGAAGAGAATCTCAAAGACTTGGCAGCAGAAGGCAAACAGCATACAAACACTTGCACAATAATTTGTTTGAAAGCAAGGCACACCTGAGACAGAACAAAGTGATATCCTCAGCATATTACCTCATGTAATATAACCTCAAGTAATAGTCCGACAAAGCTCTTTATTTGCTCTTCCAAATTCTGGCACAAATAAAGCCTAGATGAAAGCCTGCTGGTTTAAGTTCAACTTTGACATGATGGAACAGACTCTGACTGGTAGAAAAAAACCCTCAAGGAGCTCTGTCCATCACTGCCACATCAAGTAAGGGCATCTCTCAGTCCATCACTAGTGACATACAACATTCAGGGGCTACTCAGCACACTTCCTTTCTGGACTGCCAGCACACAGCACTGAAAAGATAAGTGTTTTTAGCAACTAATACCAAAAAAGGCATTCACTAGCATCTTGAAAAGGCACATCTTCCCTCCTTTCTTAGCCTAAAAAGAACCACTTTTCAATGGAAAAAAAAAAAATCACTTTTTATGCTTCTTCTACTCTCTTAACAGTTAGATAAAATGCTCGTTCAATGAAAATGCACTACTGATCTGTAGGACCAGGACAGAGAGAATGTACTACAGCCTGTGCTTTTCACAGCCTCTCAGAAAGTACCTGTGAGGAGTTTGCACTTCCAGTTATTTTCCACAAAGCCCTCAATAACTGTATTCTACCTGTTCACTGACAAATTGCAGTAACTAGACAGCCAGAACACTTAAATGAACCCAAACACATGAACAATTACACCAAAGCAAACAATTATACTTCTCAAATTCATTGTCTCTGATAGTGTCTATTGTAGTGAATACTTGTGAAAAGCATATGAGACTGTAACAAAAGTGCACTGACCATTTCCTCAGTACATTCATACAGCTTCAGCAGTTTCAGGACTTCCTGAGACAAATCTTCCACTTGGCCTGTAATGCTTATCAGCCCCTAGAAAATCTACCCTCCACATCCCCCTTTCGTATACATACAAATCTTGATCTCCAAAATGTCCCACAGCAGTTTTACGAAAACAAACAAAAAAGTTTTCTATTGAATGCCTGCTGCTTCTTAAACAATGGCAGTCCCCATCTCCTTTCTGTATGCCATTTGTTACAACTCCTCCATTTGACTCGCAGCAGTTGTTTCTCTTCTAATCCCAAAAAATCTTTCTGTAAAGCAGGAGTTTTATAACACTAAACCTTCTATGCAGAGAATAAAAATCAAACTCAAAGGGAAAACTTCTCAAGAGTGATGCACAAATTCAGATCATGACATTTACGCTTCTCATTTTCAACTCGTACAAAACTGCATCATTAGTTCATCAGTTCTTCAAAACTGGACACAAATATAAGCCTGACTTCACAGTTCATAGATTTACCCTGCAAATATTCCATTTTACCCAACTTCTTTATCTTCTCACTACTTTCCTGCCACAGCCTGCAGGAAAGGTTCTGCCTGTCAGCACCTTATTCTAAATCCATAGCAGAAATGTAGAACTGCAATGAAGATGTTTTGACTAAGGTTCACACAGTACCTGCACAGAGGTCTACCATTCATTGTCTGATCAGTTCTCTGTTACTGCTTATGGTAAATTCTGAAAACAAGAAACTGCAAACAGATCATATCAATCAGACAACATAAGTACCAACAGTGGATTTATCTGCCAAACGTCAGGCCACAAGCATGCCACTTCGTAGCAGAAGGACCACAGAATTTTCAAAGAGCTGCTTGTGTAATACAGCCAGAAACGTAACTGCTAGCTTTTCAAAGAAAGTGTTTGGGTCATCATCATGGCACTGACAGGAAACAGTCCCAACAGGACTGTTGGGAAAAAAAATCTGAACTTTTAAAGTAGCTGACGGATTTTCCCTACTCAAAAAAAGAGAATAGCACTGAATAAGTTTGGAAAGAACTTCTAAAGGCAAGGATTTATAAGTAGCTGCAAGCAAGGAAGCCATCTAGCTCTAGCATGGGAAAGAAACGAAGACCTCACCATTCAGACATATTTTCATCCGAGCCTTGCTTCTGTTCATCAGCTTCACACTCCATCCTCTCCTTCCTTCCTGCCTTGCTGAGGAAGGGCCTGTTCTCTCCCGATTCACAAAGGCCACGACTAGATGATGTCCACGGGGCATTTTCCTTCCAGCGTGAAAGACGCTGTTTCTTGGCTGACTTGAACCTGCAGCCCCTCTCATAGTTCCACTCTGACACCCTGAGCTTTTGCTGGAGACTGGCAGCCACTTCTGATGTCACGCGTTTGACTTTGCGGCGGCGCCTAAGAGGCCGGCAGGGTGCATTCTCTGTAAAGGAGTCTGACTCATGCCATGAGTGTTGCTTGCTCCTCAGGGTGGCACTGAGAGCTGGATGTCGTTTGACCGCTGCCATGTCATCAGAGTCACTGAAATTGGCTGTCAGCACCTCACGGCAATCCTTCACAGCTTCATCCAAGCTGGACTCAGAGGCCTCACTGTAGCAGCAGGCGTGCTCTGCCTGATGCGTGAAGTCTGAGCGTCGTTTGCGACCCCGCCTCTTGCGAAGCTGGCGTCGCTGCTGCCGTGGGCTTAGGGCCATCTCTTCCCATAGTTCGTCCAGCTTGTTTTGCTCTGAAGTCTGTTCTAAGGCTGAGGCCAAGTCATGCACAAGTTCATCCATTGGCAATGCCTACAAAAATGACAGCAAACAATTAGTACCAGACATAAATGCTGTCACAAACACATTGCTAGACTATAGCATACTACAGCAGAGTTACACACTTTAGTCGTCTGGGAGAAACAATGCAATATATCTGCTGTTTCTTGAGCTAACATTCACTCCTTCCTGTTGCAGGGGTTAAATCCCACTTCTACCCATGGTGGTGGAAACGTCACCACTGCAGCAGTTGGGTCAAGTGCTCCGTATATGAAAAGGCCTTACATTTGTATCTTTTGCTTGGAAGGAACGTGTTCCATTACACATCTTAAGGGTAAGAGAGCCCGCAACTAGTTTGCTACCTGGTATGCCCATGTCAATTACTGTAAGCTACAAAGAAGGGTTAGCAGCTGCAGCAAGCAGATTGAAGTCTTCCAAAAAGTAGACAGGCAGTAAACTATGAGCAAAATGGAAAGCAAAAAGGCAGTCTGCAAATCAGCTTCAATGCAGCAGCAAAATAAGACGCACGGGGTCCCACACTCCTAACAACAGTGTACGTGACACCAGGACCCAGCTGCCAGGGGCAAAATCCCCAGCCTTTCCACCTCCGTACTGCCAGCAAGCCCCTCCTAAGGACTTGGCCAAACTCCGACACTGCCCGTGACCGCCGGGCCGCCCCACCGCCGGCACTTTGGGCTCTCGTACTCGGCCACTTCGCCCAGAACACCCGCGGCCCCGCTCCGGAGCAGCACTGGCTGCCGCAGGCCTCCTCCTCCGTCCAGGCACCCGGAAGGCCGCACCGTAACGCCTCTCCCGCTCCCCGCTCCGAGAAGCCGGCGCTCTCCCACACGCCGCCGGGCAATCCGCGGCCCCGCAGGGCAGCTCAACGCAGCCCGCCGCGCCCCAAGGCCGGAGCGGGAGGGGCGTCTCGAGCGCCGACGCCCCACTCCGACCCCACCGCCGGGCCGTGGCCCCCGACCCCACTCACCGGGCAGCGCCCGCTCCGCCAGCCCCTCGCAGCGCCGCTTCCGGCCTTCCCGGGCCACTTCCTCCCCGCCCTCCCCGCCGAGGGGCGGGTCTGGTGCCGGGGGCCGGCCCGGCGTGGGGCGCTGCGCCGCCCGGCAGCGCGGCTGGTAGAAGGGTGGCGTGCGGCCGTGCCCGGACTGCTGCGGGCTGTTAGAAGCCGTTACAGACCGTTGCTTAGCGAGGAGAGGTGCCTGGATAGGCGTCCCTGCCCAGGATAGCCGCGTTCTTTCATGAGTCCTTCCATTCAGCCTTTTCATAGAATCGTAGTCCCAGATTAGCTGGAGTTGGAAGCGACCCTTAAAGGCCATCTAGTCCAACTCCCTGAAATGAGCAGGGACGCCTACGGCTCGGTCACGGCGCTGAGAGCCCCATCCAGCCTGACCTTGTCTGTGTCCAGGGACAGGACGTACACTGCATCTCTGGGCAACCTGTTCCAGGCCTTCACTACCTTTATTGTAAAACCTTATTTACACCCAATCTAAATCTCCCCTGTTCTGATTTGAAACCATTTCCCCTTGGCCTGTTATCACAGACTCTGGTAAACAGTCTGTCCCCTTCTTTCTTATAGCCCACCTTTAGATACTGGCAGGTCACTTCCAGGTCTCCCTGCAGCCTTCTCTTTCGCGTGCTGAACAGCTCCAGCTCTCTCAGCTTGTCCTTGTATGAGAAGTGTTCCATTCCTTGGATCAGACTCTTCTTGGCTGGGGATGACCATGAGGTGTCTCAATGCAGTGCCACATCAGGCAGGAAAGCTGTCCACGAGGCCCTGTCCCTGCAGGACTCGCTGCTGAGGTTTAATATCACCAAAACCACAACCATACTTTCCCCAGATGAATATCCCACCTGTGTTTGAGTATTTCACCCTACAGATCACTTCACAGCTCTAGAGTCAGCAGAAATCAGGCCCGGTGCACAAGGCCTCTCCCGATGCTGGGCGCGCAGGCATCCCTTGATTTAGTGGGTGTATGTTATCACTTGCCATTGGTTTATGAAGTTCTTATTTATGGAAATATCAGTCCCTGGCTTATCTGACCCCTGGCCTGCTTGTGAATGAAAGTAACACATGCCCTGCTGAAAGCTGGTGTTTCTTATTGATTTTTTGAAGATTTGTGCGTTGGTTGGTCCCATTGCTGGAGTTTCAGCCCATGTCTCCACAGACCATTAGCTGCTAATAGAAGCTGAATGTTCCCAGCTCTTGCCATGTGCTTCTCCTTTTTGCTGCTTGATTTTTTTTCTTTTTAATTGTAAGATGCTGGCGATCAGTATACTTGGTACCAAAGCTGCATTTTATACTGAATTTGTGTATCTGGATTTGTATATCTGGAAATACACTGGACTTGTACATCTGGATGGAACTCAGTTTTGTTATTTTCTAAGATAAATCTCTCTGCGCAATTTCCTTGTCCTTAAATCTGCACCTCCTTCCGTCACAGCATGTGCCTGTTATCTCCCCAATTTATGGATCATCAGCAGCCATCAGAGTCAAGCCAAGTGTGACCCCAGTTCCATTTTCTGCAGCATTCCCTTTTGTTTCTCGTCTTTCCGTTTATTTAATCCATGTGGCAGCATTCATATTCAAGGCAATATTAGTTCATTTTTCAAGTCATATTTTACAAGGCAGTATATGAAAGGATTTGTTGAAGCCCAGATATATTATGTACATGGCATTCTCTTCATTTGCTAATTTTGTAAATTAAATCAGAGAAAGTAATCAGGTTTGTCTGACATGATTTGTTCTCTACAAACCTACGCTGCTGCTCATCACTCAAAGATCTATTATCCTTTGCATTTTTACATTTTTTTCCTGCTTCTACTTATTCTTTTATGAGGCCAGGAACAGAAGTTTTACTGAAAGGGTGATAATTGCCAAGATCATGACTTCCTCCCTGCTTCCCCCTGATACCATGCTTGCTTTTCCCCATTTCCCTGGCACCCCCCCAGTTTGTCAAAAAATAACGGTAAGAAAATCCTTACATTTGTGGCTGATTCCTACACCTTCTGAAATGATCATCATTCAGCTTCACTGCGATCTCTCCTTGCTGTTTCTCCAACTCAACCTTTATTCTGAGCTGTAATTTTAACATTTTCATTACCTTTTTGTTGTCTGAGAAATTTATGTGGAAAAGAAATATTAAAAGAACAAAAACGGACATTTGATAAATCATTTTTATCTCATTCCTAATGTCTGTCTTCAGTTTAGTTACTTTCTCTGCACCAATTCATCTGTACTTGTCTGTCCTTTTGTCGTCTTAACCCCTTCAATTGCAGTACTTCACTCTATCGACTGCAGCATTTAGTTTCCTATTTTCAGTACAGAGGTTTTCTTTTTACTCTCAGATCCTAAAATCTAATCCTGTTTTACCACTGCAATCCTTTTCTATGCTTCAGGACATAAAACATCTACAAAATGTCTGGGTTACAGAGAAAGTCCCCTGGTGGGAAGGTTATTCTGTAAACATCCACTTCAGAGCTTCTTACCTCTTCATTTCAGCTCTGTGCTGGCTGTAGTACTGAGCAGGATAACAAATTACACAAACAGTTGTGTAAAAGAATTCCTGTGCTCACACGTCCTGAGGAGACAGCAGCAGATGCCCACTTTAATTTCTCTTTTTCTCCATTCATTTTCCCGAATAGTTCGGTGCTGTTCTGTTGGTCAACAAGAGTTTTACAAATTGTATGATTTTTAAAGCACCTGTCAATATTTTTGCAAATTTCACCATTTCAAACTAACTTCCAAGAGATGTCAGCAGCCTTTTTCCTGACCTGGGAGAGATGGGGATGTTTTTCTGGGAAAGTTTTGGTGGTAACAGAATTGCTTTTGCCTTTTGCAAGGGTCACAGGAACTAAAATGGTGCCAAAACAGGGCACTGGTGTGTATAGGGAAAAAATGGAAAATTGTCAGTAGGAGTTGGTGAAATATATTGGGGAAGAAGTGGTAATCTGGTTTTGAGCTGTTTATGATATTTCTGTTCTGTCTCACAAAGTCCACTCTGAAGTGGAACAGTGACTATAAATTTTGAATCCTTGCCTGAGTTCAACTTCACCCCACATCCCCGGTGAATTATTCGATCCCTCTGTAGTTTGCAGTTTTCCTGCACAAACAACAGGGACTGGCCTATTTTTCTCAGCACTAATTTTGCTTGTAAAAAGCTGTAGGGATGCAAAATGTTCAGGACTTGTATCCTGAGTGGATTATTAGCCTTTCCTGGGCTTTGCACGTGCAGGCATCTTTCTCCTGCCCAGAATCTGTAGTCACCAGCACTAAACTGTTGCTGGGACTTGATATGAGAAAGAAGATGCTGCTGGCGAGGGACGTTCCTGAGGTGAGCAGCAAGGGAAGGTCTGCGGGATGCTCACAGCAGGGATGGCCTGCTAGGACAGGAAGAGTAAAGGGGTCGTTGCTGTACCCCAGCAAACATTCTGCATGGTCCCATGGTGCTTCTCAGCAAAACCTTCCAGGGGTTAAAAGGAAAAAGAGAGAGACAGAAAGGGGACAAGAGACAAAGGGAGGAATAAAGTCAAAAAATGTGCCGTGAAGCTTCTTGCAGCAAAATGCGGAGAAAGTCATTTCCAACTTCTTTCATCTTGGAGATGAAGCCACTAAATAAAAGGGCAGCGCAGAACACAAGGGCTTTTAATCTGTCTCATCTCCTTCATAATAACTGCAAATTTTCCCTGGGCTCCTGGGAGTGAGCCTCTTTCCTCTGTCTTTGCCTTATCTCCCCCCTCCATATTTCACAGCCGGCGCGGCTCCCCTCACTCGGCTGCCCCCGGCCCAGTCTCCACGAGGCCTGTGGGAGCCGCCAGCTCCCAGGGCCTCATTGTTCCCGGCTTGGGAGGAAGCTCAGAGAGGGAATTGAAGGCAAGTCAAAGGGAAACAGCATCATCGCTGCTTCATTAATGGGAACCTTTCAGCAGAAAACATATCAGAGCGAGGTCTTTTCAGAGGCAGTAATTAGCAATTTGGAGCCTTCCCCCCTCAGGAGATGCAGCTGCGATCTAACAAGTGGGAGCAGTGCTCGCCTCCTTTTACGCTTCATATTTATTGTTTTCCATTTTCTCCATCTTCCTTCCATTGTCCAGCCTCCTCCTCACTGCCAGATAAGGGCCCTTTATTAATCGCTCCCTTTTAATTCTTCATTAATGATAATAACTTTCTCTGGCGCATGGAGAGGAGTTAATCTTTCCTGGGTATTGAGAAAGGACAGGGCAGAAAGGGAGGGAGTGAAGAAGTGCACGATGGACAAGGCTGCGCCGCCACGTCTCCCTCCCACCCCACCACCCGGAAGGAGTTTCTGAAGACTTTGCTGTTGAGCTGCAAGATGCCCACTGGAAGGCTTTGGGTGGTCAGTTTGGATTTGGTGGGCTGTACCCTGGCTCAGAGAGCAGGCCCTTACCAGGAACAGGCACACTTGGGGCAGATGGAGGTGCCTTCTTGATGTCTTTGTGAAAAAAACAATGTCTCCTTTTCACTGATGGACTGTGTCGACTTGTCTTGTAGGAGTGTCCCCTCAGGCACCTTAAAAGTCCAGTTTCCCAATAGCCAACACTGTCTGCATTTAAACAGTACTTGAAAGTAGAAAGGAATTGTATGTGGGAGGCTCTGCACAAGACAAGACCTCTCTGGTGCCTCCCCCCAGCAGTTGGCAGAGCCCGTGTCTGCGCCTTGGCTCACTCCCAGCTGGAGGTCCAGGCCATCACTAAGGACATCTGTGTGAGGTGACTGCTGGGCTGGCTCAGCACTGGCAGCCTGGTAACAAAAGCAGGATGAAGATAGCAGGAATGGGAGGAGGCTGCCATCCAGGCTGTGGACATGGGCACAGATCTGTAACTGTTGAATATCAACCACAAGAACATGGCTAGGGAGGACAGAACTGCAATATGCTTATACTGCCTCGCTTCTCCTCCTAGAGTTTTATACCACTGGTTCCACAGGGCCCCTGCTGGTAAAGGTCACACAAGTATCTTGCCTTCTAGAGGTAGACATCATCCCTTCTTGGGTAGCTGGATATGCCACCACCCCATTACGAATATTTTAGTATTCCCAAATACAAAGAAAAGGGGACGAATGTTACTGTTGCTAGGATAGGTGGCTCCACCACCTCACTGAGGAGCAGCAGGTTGGCAATGCTGAGAAATGCTGGGAGAAAGGAACAAATGTTCCTCCTTCATAAGAAGAACCCAGGAACTTCAGTGTAGAAGCTCAAACCCATTATCTGCTTACTGTTCTACACACATCAGCTGCTATTTCTGTAACACGCTCTGAGGCCTACATTTATGCTCCTCTGAGTAATGTTTTGGTATTCATTTAGTCCCAATAATCAGGAACAATCTGTCCTGCGACAGACCTCTGCATAATTTGCAGTGATCGTAATAGACTAAGGTCTAAAAGAACTTTCTATCTCTGAACCTGAAGCAGTATAGAAATGAGGGCTGACCAGTCTGCAAACATTGCATTTTGACGTCCAGATGGGTCAAGCAGCCCCTGGAATGTTGTTAAACATGGTTGGCTTTTAAGGTTTGTTGTTTGTTCACAGCACCTCTGCATGAAACTTTGCTTCCACACAATGAATGGAAAGAAGTACTTCAAAACATGCATCTGTTCCTCAGATTCAGGGAATTGGATCTTCCCTGGTCTATCACTGCTCCCTTGCACAGTGGAGATAGAAAGACCAGAGGTAAAGAGAGCCATGAGGTATGTGGAACCTGATGCACAGGAGAGCCAGCCTTTTTACAGTATTGTAAAGAATATTTGATACATTTTACTTGACAATTGCCTTTATTTCTCCACAGATCACTGGCTGCTGTAGGACTGTAATAGTCTTGGTTCTTACAGATGGCTGCCTGTCCTCCATTCTATTGCTGGTTTAACAACGGTGGCCTCTGAGCCACCCACAGGAGCACTCATCAGTCTGCCAGCAGAACTTGGGCCCAACTAAAAAGAAACATATTCATCATGGCAGCAAAGAGCTGGCAGTAGCACTGGTGATGCTGGTGGGCACTGGGCCATCATGGATGTTAACGCTGTGTGGCAGAAACTCAATGCTAGCTTGCTTCCAGCAAGAACAAGAGGTGTTTCACAAGTAACGGGCCTCAAACAGAGCCAACTGCAGAGATCACCTACAAGGACTGGTGAAGCCTCGAGGAGAGTGGAATAATGCCTATTTCAGTTATAATAACTGCAGGTGTTGCATCCTGAAAGTCCTCTCGCTCCTCTCCTATTGTCCTTGCAACTTGTCATTATCTTCCTGTTGTAGTGAGAACAACTGGAACACAGGAGCACAGCAGGTCCTCTTAGATAGTGCTGCAGGGCATGTCACAAGTCTGCATAAAGCAGCCAAGAAGGGTTGCCAGAAGGCGTCACTGGTTTTATTGTCATCCCTAATTTGAGGAGAAGATGAAGATGTTCTGCTCGCTGTATGTGAGAACAGGGCTGGCTGTTTCAGCCAGGGGCAGTCGTTGGAATAGTCCTGCATGTTGGTTGGTCTGGGCTTGATGTTTTATCTTTACACAATGAGCTATTATGCACATGGGATCCATAAACAAGCAGCTTTAGAAAGCAGCCAAGATGACAACGTTTCCCAAGTCACAAACGCTACTAAAACATTTGCACGCAACAGCAGCTGGATCCCTGTTTCAGGCTGGACTTAAGGTTCCCCTGCCCTGCAGATCAGCCTACAGCCAGGACTCTCCCCCCTTGTTTCTGTGTACTTGCTTATCCCTCCCACCACTTTTCTCTTGCACTACGTATTTTCCTGCTCCTTACCTCTTGTTGCTTGAGTCCTGAGTAGATCTGCTACAAGCCCCTGCCCCTTGAGCAGATCCTGCTTGCTGCCTTGCCTGGCTTGCCTGCTGGATTCTGTGGCTTTCTCTGGCTGTTCCCAGCACTGCACCCAGGCAGCCCTCCTACCACCTCATGCAGTGGCCAGGGGAGCATGCAGGGCTGACATTGCCAAGCCTTTTGGAGGTTTAAGTGCGCTTCATGGCAGGGAAGAAGGCGGTAGCATGGATCTGCAGGGAGGGGGAGGGGATCAGCCTGACAATCCCCTTCGAATTATAAACATATCCTCTTTAAATACATTTCTAAGGATAACATTTGTATTACTGCGTCCTGTGGCTGCTGATAGGGCCCTGCTTATCGCCTTGGTCTCTCCTCCTTTCTCTGGGCCCTGCTGGGAAAGGTCCCTATCTGGAGCCGAGCTGGCAATCCTCTGCCAAGCAATTGTTTCAGTCCAGGGGAAAAATTAATTTCTGCCTATCGTTAATTGAGAGAATTGTGTGGAGAGCTGGGAGGGGGGCTGGCGGGGGGAGTGGGGGATGGAGTGGGGAAGGGAGAGATCGTGTTATTAACAGTGTCCCTTTCATAACCAAATACCCTGATTTCCATCAGTGAGATGAGAGGCTCATTACAGCAAGAAGGTGATTAGAGAACTTGGAAGAGCTATCAGGCTGAGCAGGAGAGTGCCAGAGAATTCGGGAGGGACTCCCAGCAGAAGGGCAGCTGCTCCAACCAACCATCCCCTCTCACCCTCACTGCCTTCCCCTCCACCCCTCCTCTCCCTGTCAGACCCAATGACCCCCTTCACACATCTCTGGAAAAAACTGCAAAGTTCCAAAGATCAACAGTTTTAGTGGCTGAAGAGATG